CATGCAGAGAGATGCAAATTGAGGCAATCCTGCTGTTTTGGAACTTAATATGTTTTTTTAAAAGATAGGGTGAAAGGCAGAAATTGCAGGAAATTATATACTGCAGGAGCTGCTTTATCTTCTCCGCAGTTGATTCCAGCAATGCTTCTGGTTTGGGAACAGCATTTCACGTGCTCAGAGAGCACACCCTCAGGCTGAAGCCATCAAACGGCTGAACCTCTGACCCTTGGCCAGAATTTGCTGCTCTGCTGTCCTTTGGACCCGTCCATCTTATTGCACTTTCCCAGCCTCTCCTTGGGTTCCTGCGTATATGGAGGGGTTGATCCTGTCACTGACACATTTGAGAGGAGCGGTGGAAGCCTTGTTCCTATGAGTGTCAGCGTAGCTCAGGACCACCTTGCAAAGCACAGGCCCCCGTTACTCAGTCCTCGGCTCAAGGACTTCCCTAAGGCGGGGTACCCATTAGGGAGGAAGCTTGCCTTGGTGACAGCCTAGAAATTTCTCTGAAGGTCTGTCTTGTCCCCCATGGGTTCTACAACGGCACAACAGTACAGATGATCGTAGTGGGCTTTTGGCAAATGTTCCTGGGTCTAGATTATGTTGGGGGAAGATCAGGCTGAGCCACAAAATAAGTCCCCAGCCCCCAGCCACACCTCACTTATCTGCCATCAGTGTGGAATGAGGTGTTGCGCACTGGGGGATTTTTCCAGTTAGCTGAATTTCAGAACCAGTCTGTTTTTTTTGTTTGTTTTTAATTTGAACTAGTTTGCACAGAGGCCTTTCTGAAATGGATTTCACACTTCTCTGACTTCTCAAACTGAGGCAAACAGAACATAATTAAACTTATCTTGATGACTGGAGGTCATCGTTTGGAATCACAGTTATTAATCTTTGGAGCCAGACTGTCTTGTTCCAGTCCCAGCTCTTGTTTTAGCTGTGTGGCTTCGAGCAAGGATGCTAACCTCTCTGTGCCTCAGTTCCTCATCTTTAAAATAGGAATAGTAGCAGTCCCTACCTCATAGGGTTGTTGAGAAGATTAAGTGAATTGATCAATATAAAAATAGTACCTAGCACATATTATGTAGAACCATATTATTGATATATTGCCATTTTCATAGGCAAACAACAGGCTCAAGGAGTAGGTGGCACTCTGCGTCTTAGCTCCTGCTCTGTATCAGGCACCGTGGTCCGAACTTAACCTATGTCGTCTCCTTTGGTCTTCCCAACAGGCTCCCAAGGGGGCATTACCATCCCATTTTGCCGAGCCTCAGAGAGGCTAAGCGGCTTACCCTAAGCTGCCCAGCGGGCAGGTGGCGGAGCTGGGATTCCAGCCAGGTGGTCTTGGCTCCTGGGTGCCGTTCTTTCTGCCCCGCGCTGTGCCGGACAGTAGCCCTCTTGGCAGAGCACTGAGTACCCTGGAAGTTGTGATGGTCTATCAGGTTCTCGCATTTATTTTTGTCTAATATTTCTGCTCCCTTCCCGATCTTACAGCGTTCTGAAGGGTTTTTCCGGGAGGCAAAAATAAGAGCTTTTGCTTGTGGATTTTGTGGCATCTGTTTCAAGCGTATGTGTTTTATAGTCAACTGATGCACGCTGAACACGTCACGTGTGGCTCACCTGTGTTCATTCAGGTGAGAGTGTCGCACGGTTGGTCTCCAGACACGTGAGAGGTCACTGTGATCACACCTGAGCCATGTCCTGGGGAGGCTAGAACGACCCTGGCTTTCCAGGAGTGCCAGCGCCCCCCACAAGGACCGGCTGTTCCAGTGTCCCCAGCTGCTGTCCTGCCCCAGGGCTCTCCGTGCGGCTTCCACACCAAATCCTAAACCGTCCAGCTTTAAAAGGACTGTGGTGGTCATCCCATTCGGCACATCACAGACGAGGAAACTGAGGCTCAGAGCTTGAGTGACATGTGAGGTGGTGGAGGTGGGAGTAGGGCAGGGACAGAGGCCACACACACTGTGAGTGGGGGTGGGGGAGAGGTGTTCAAATAATAGCAATAATAATAGCTCACATGCACACAGCACTTAGTGTGTGCTGTATGCTGTTCTCAGTGCTGTACTCCTATTTTTTTTTTTTGGAGACAAGGTCTCGCTCTGTCACCTCAGCTGGAGTTCAGTGGCGTCATCACAGCTCACAGCAACCTCAAATTCTTGGGCACAGGCGATCCTCCTTCCTCAGCCTCCTGAGCAGCTGGGACTACAGGCATGCGCCACCACCCCAGCTAATTTTTCTATTTTTGTAGAGACGGGGTCTCGCTCTCTCAGGCTGATCTTGAACTCCGAGCTCAAGCCATCCTCCTACCTCGGCGTCCCAGAGCGCTGGGATTACAGGGATGAGCCACTGCGCCTGGCCTGTACTCCTATTTTTATATATTTTTTAAATTTTATTCTCATAAGGCTGTAAGGCGAGCACTGCCATTACACCCATCACGACGAGGAAGCTGAGCACCAAGAGGGCACGAAACTTGCCCCATGTCGCACAGCTAATGAGGCCGGGGCTGAAGCAGGCAGCCTGGCTCCAGCACCCCTATCCTACCCATCACCCCGCCATAACCCACCTCGCAGCCTTTCGACGGTGTCTGTCAGCCTCCTGAGGGGTTGCATACTCATCTCTGCCACCGTGTGTGTCACTCATCTCTAGATACCCCCCAAGAGGAAGCGGGTGGTGTGAGGGAGCTGAGTGACTTCCCCACAGGCCCTGTCCCTCACGAGCTTGGCAGGCCCCGGGGTCTGTCGGGCAGAGCTTTCGAATTGCAGAGGCCACTCTGGGCTGGGTGGAGAGGACCGGGCATCTCTGCCCAGTGCCCTGGTGGCCCAGCAAGCTGAGGGCCTGGAGCCACGTGAGGGGAGGGGTCCAGCCACCTTCGCTAGGGTCCAGACACCTTCCTTGAGCTCTTGGGGTGTGTGGGGGGATGGCTGGGGCAGGGAACTGGTCTGGGGAGTCAGACACTAGGCACTGCTTGGGGAACTTGGGAGCTTCCCCTGCGCTGAGCCTCTGGTCTCTTAGCTGTAAAATGGGCCACGGCCCCCACCCCATCTCTACCCGGAGCATCGGGAGGGCGTCTCGTGCGTTAGTGGCTGTGAAGGTGGTGCTTACCCTGGAGCTCCCTCTAGGAACGAACCACACAAACACGAGAGGGAGCGAGGCGACGCCACGGAACCGGGGCTTTGGGGCAAACGGGAAGCTCACCTTTCTGAGCCACTCAGTAAAACCGTAGTGAAATCATGTGTGTTAATGTTCACGAGGAAGCTACCTGCTTGCAAGTTGCTACATGCCTGTACCCTGCTGACACGTCACACTTGATCTCATTTAGTCCTCATGACAAGCCTAAGAGAGGTATACTATTAATATAATCAGCCCCGTGTTACAGAGGGGAAACTGAGGCTCTGAGAGGTTCCCTACTTGCCCGAGGTCACACGACTAGAAAGCGGCAGAGCTAGGATTCAAACTGGGACAACTCCGGAATCTATCTGCTTCACCCAACAGGTCCGCTAGACCTGCTGGGCGGGGCTGTTTGAGGATGAAATGGCACCCTCCAAAGTGCTCACCCAGGGCCTGGCACTTGGCAGTGCTGGGCAAATGTAGGACGCTGCCCTCCTGACCAGGGTGGTGCCTGGACCCCGGGTTTGCCAGGCCCTGGGGCTGTGTCCACCCCTGTCCTGCCTCACACCCCCTTCTCCCCCGCTCCCACCAGGATGTCGCCACCATGCAGTTCTGTGCCAACAAGCTGGACAAGAAAGATTTCTTTGGGAAATCCGACCCCTTCTTGGTGTTCTACAGAAGCAACGAGGACGGAACGTGAGTTTTCTGGCAACACGTGCGCACTGTGCCTTCTCATCGCCGTCTGTGGCCAGGGATGGACGGGTTGTGGTGACCTGTCAGGCAGGGGGGCTCAGGCCCATCTCCTTCTCCAGAGAGGGCAGGGGCTAGGGCTGCAGTCCAGGGCCTCGGGGTAGTGCCCTGGGCACCTAGATGGGGCCAGTGGGAGTGGGGGCAGCCTCATAAGCTGGCAGTGTCATTCTGGGGGTCTTAGCAACGGTACCAGGTGGTGGGTGCTGGTTGTCAAGGGTGGGGGGTGTGGGCAAAAACAAGGCTAGGACGGGACTGAGGGCCCATGCTCCACGGGACCCTTCATTCTTCACAGATCAGCTCCTGTCCCCCAGCCCAGTCCCCTCTGTCCAAGCCCTCTACACACTGTCACGTCCCGACTACTGCATACCGCGCATGGCCAGTCTGTACCCTTCCCCTGCCTGCCCCCGACGCTGCCACAGGCTTCATTCACAACCGAAGCCCCTGTTTCCTCCTCTCTTCCCCCTAATCCAGAAGCCACCCACGTGACGGAAACGTACACAACACGTTGGCAAATGCAGGTCAGCAATGTATACAGAGAGATTTGGAGTGAAGGTCTGGGGACCTAGGTCCTCCCTACCAACCTGCTGTGTGACCCCGGGCAAGTCATGCTCCCTCTCTGGGCCTGTTTTCTCATCCACCAAATGAACCAGTCGGATTAGGTGGTCCCCAGGGCTCTTTAAGCATCGCAGTTCTGGGAGGCTGTGGCCACTTAGAGGCTGGGATTGTGCAGGAGCGAGGAAGGACGGGGCAGGGAGGTTAATCAGAGAAAGGCTGCCGAGAAGGGAACTTGGAAGCGGATTTTGACAGGGAGGAAGAAAATGAGTCCGTGGGGGGGGTGCGGGGGCGCAGGAAGAATGATGGGCTGGGGAATGTGTGTGCCCAGAGGGCAAGGGCTTCGCCAGATCCTCCGGATTGTGAAATTCTGTGTGTGTGTGTGTGTCTGTGTGTGTGTGTCTCAGGGGTGCAGGGGAGCGGCAGGGAGGGGGTGTGTTTCCTTCAAAGAAAATCTGATTTTTAAACCCGAACGTACAAAACAAGGGAAATTAGGTAGAATCATTTGCATGACAAAAGGATTCTTTGTCTCACCGAAGGACTCCCAGCAGGATTTCTTTAAATAGTTCTGCTGGCTTTGACTTGACTTGCTGTGGGGGCGGGAGAAGGCCCAGTGCGTTCTGGGCGTCCGCACAGGCCCCTCCCGAGAGGCAGAGCCAGGGGCTGGGGGGCGCGTCCGGCTGGCCAGGAGGAGGAGGGGGATTTGGGAGCCAGAGGGGCGCGTTGCAAAGGGTGATTGCCAAAGATTATTCTGGCAGCGTGATGTGTAGGATGGATGGGAAGCGGGCGGGAGAGGGAGAGCCTCGTGACTGACACGGTGAACAGGTGGGAGGTGCCGTGAGCACCGAGCTGCGCGCAGCGGAGATGCAGGGGCAGGAAACGGGGAGGGGCACGGGGGCAAAAGGACAGCGTGAGGACCTCACCGGGCAGGACTTGGGTGGGGATGGAAGTCCTAGTCCCTCTCCTCGCAGTGGAGCCAGGGGAACCCAGAGCGTGGGACGTGTCAAAGGAGCTGGTCAGACCGCCAGTGATGGCGGTCTATTTGGGGGAAGTTCCACTGGAAGCGTGGGCTGGAGCTCCCCAGGGGGTGCACTGGTCCCCCAGGGGGATCCCATGGGGCACTGGAGAAACTGATCTGGAGCCCCCCCAGGAGGCGAGCCGGTGTGCAGGCAGGCACCTGCCAAGGGGCACAGGCTGAACCAGTGAGAACAGAGTGGTCACCGAAGGTTCAAGAGAGAAGAATGGAAGGTTTAGGAGGAGGACAGGAGGAAGGTCAGTGAGGGAACCAGGAGAGTGAACTGTCACACCAGCCACGCGAGGAGGGACAAGGAAAGGGAGCATCCGCAGAGCACCCGCCGTGCTCCTGGAGCTGTGCCTATTGGCTTAGAAGACCTGGCCAAGAAGCTGGGCTGTCAAGGGAGAGGAGAGAGAGGGAGAAGTCGGGGGTTCAAGAGCCGGGGTGCCCAGCACAGCTCCCGTGCAATACGATCCTCCCTCCCTCTGCCACCCGGTCCTGCTCCTCATATCCCTCTGGCCAGCCGCCCCAGCCTCCTTTTCCTGCCCCGGCATGGGCGGCTGTGGGCCCTCCTGCCCCATCCCCATTCCTGTCCTTGCCACCAGCTCTGGGGTGTGTGGGGAGGTCTCCTACGTGCATCTCCATACTCCAGTGGGTGGGCGGGAAGGAGAGAGAAGAGAAACGCTGAGCCATGGTGACAGGAATGACATTTTGACTTGAAAATTGCCAGAGAAGAAATGGCACCGGCTGTGTGGGCGTGGGCGGGGCCCGGGCTCTTACTTGGTGACCTTTCCAAGCCAGGCTGTAGCTGGGGCGGGTGCTGGGAAATCTCAGACCGAGGCCCCTGCCCCCAGCCCAGCCCTGCTCCCGGCTGCCTATCCATGTGGCAGGCCTGGCTTCCGGGATGGGTCCAGCCAGGCCTGGCATCGGGAGTGGGCAGGGACGCTGGATTGGGGCCCAGCTGGGACAAGCCAATGACGGACTCTCAGTTTGCAAAGCGGGCTCCTGGACTCAGACTGGAAACGCTGCAAGGGTCTTCGAGATCATCTAAGCCAGGGGCTTTAATTTCATTGGATCGAAATGAAATGAAAGCTATGGGAACTCTCCCTTGAGGAACACATTTATTCATTGGTTCGCTTAAACAAAATCACTGAATACCTGCTAAGTGCCAGGCTCTGTTCTAGGTACTAGGGACATGCCAGTGATGGATGAAAATCCTTGCTCTTACGGAACTTGCATTTTAGTGACTGATCATAAGCAGAATAAATAAGGAAAAACATAGACTGTCAAAATGTCAAATGCTGACAAATGAAAATGGAAAAAAAGCGTGCACAGAGACCAGGAGACGTGAGAGTCAGGGGACCGGCGGGTTGTGAATTTCAGATACGACGGGAGGTTTCATGGAGACGACATTTGACCTGAAGGCAGTGAGGGGTGAACTGCGAAGTCCTGGGAATGAGGGAGAGAATATTCTAGGCTCGGGAACGGAGGCACATGCAACTCATACACCCAATTGCACCTACGGTTTCAGGGGTTCGCAGCCCCCTAAGTGCGTCCACACATCCTCCCTCGGTCTCGGATGGAGAACCCGCGGTAGAGGCTGACTCCCGGGCTTTACAGGCGAGGAAGTGGCGGCTGAGAGAGGGAAGGGCTTGCTCAGGGTCACGCAGAGTTGGCCCCAGAGCAGGGGCTAGAATCCAGGTCTCCCGACACTTACCCCAGGACCCGTCCCCGCTGTGCAGGGGCCCCCTGGTACCGGAGCCCTTTCTGTAGCATCGCTAGCAAACGGCTGTCTAGTCCAGCCTGGCTGCTGCTAGTGACAGGCAGCTCATCCCCTTTGGAAGCCGTAGTTGCTCCTGTCCGGGGAGCAGGGATGTTGCCCAGCTGTCTCCTCTGTGACCCGCGCTCGCAACTGACAGCCTTTGCCTCTCGTCTCTTCACCAGGTTCACCATCTGCCACAAGACCGAGGTGGTGAAGAACACCCTGAACCCTGTCTGGCAGACCTTCTCCATCCCCGTGCGAGCCCTCTGCAATGGGGACTATGATCGGTGAGATGGGAGAACGCCCCTGTTTGCCTTCTACACCCGTGCGCTCCCCAGCAGGGTGAGGGAGGCCCGTCCATATGGTCGCGGTTGGTGCCATCAGCACAAGCGGGGCCTCCTGGAGTCGTGCAGCCGGCGCCCTGCGCAGGGTGGGGCTTGGTGAGCCTCCGCCTCCTCCCGCACAGCTGCAGGGCCCTCCCCTCCCCACCCTGCACCCTGCCCCCTACTTCCTCCCTGGCGTCCCTGACGGTGGGAAACTCCCAAGGCTGAGGGGGTGGGTGTACCTGGGATTCCGGGGAAACCCAGATGGGTGTCAGGGTGCCCGGCGTGGAGCGCAGCAGCTTGTCTTTTCCTTGTTCCCGGTGCAGGGGCCGATGGCAGCAGGTGGGGGCGGGGGGTTGATGCAGCGGAGGCAGCCCGTCCCCACCAGCCCCAACTCCCGGCCAGTGGCCTCTGGGGAGTCGGGATCCCAGGGATACTCGCGCCGTCGATGAGGGTGGAGGGTGGGTGCAAAGAGCCTACTCTTACTACGTGTGAGCTGTCATCATCATCGTCGTTGGCGTGTAGATTGTTGAGCATAGACACCAGATACCTGGTTTCTAACCCTGGCTTTGTGGCTAAAAAGCACCGTCACCCTGGGCAAGCTTTGACTTGTCTGACCCTTGGCTTCCTTACTTGGCAAACAGGTATTAAGACACCCGCCTACTCATAGGGCTGCTTCGATGCTCACGTGACACAACCTACACAAGGGCCGCTAGTACGCACGAAATACCAAACTCGGCATCTTGTTCACAAACGTGCATCGAAGCCCTGTTGTGTGCCGGGCGCTGCGCTAGAAGCTGGGAAGTCAGCAGGGAGCACACTCGCGATCTGCTCCCTGCGCCCAACCGTGGAGTTCACGTGCCGGTCGGGGAGGCAGGCGTTAATCCCATAACCACACGAAGAAACGTACAATTACACACTGTGCGTGCTGGGGAGACGGCGCCGTGTGAGCCAGGAGCTGTGCAGCCGTGTCGGTCTGTGCTAAGTCGCGGGAACCCATCCCGGCTTCCTGCAGCTCTGCCGGGTGAGCTGGCGGGGGCTCACGGGCAGGGCCGTCGGGCAGCCTTGAGGAGGCCGGGCCTGTGCTGGCCACTCCGACGGGAGCACTGGGGCGTCAGAACAGACACCCCGCGTGTCCCTCCGAGGAAACCCTCAGGCTGCCAGTCTGAGACGTGAGGTGGCCCCTTTTCCTGCCTCTTGGCTGGGATGGAGAAGCCGCAGTCTGTTCTATGGTGGCCACGGGGCACCTGCCCCGTGCCCGGCACTGTGCCGCTGCCTGTGCAGCGTGCAAAGGAACGTGGCGCGCTTCCATCTTCAGGGAGCTTGCAGCCTGACCGCAGGGAGCTCAGATGTGCACGTGTGTCTTAGGTAGCTAAATAATGTGCAAAACAAGGCTGGGGACAAAGATGGGCATTCCAGTCAAACCAGCCCCGTTACGTGCCCAGCTGGTCCTGGGGTTTCTGGAGTGGGTGAGGGGCAGGAAGACAGTCCGGTTGGAGCAGTCCTGTCTAGGCGAGGGGCTCCTGGGGGCAGGGCCTGGGAAGTGGGTTGGGATGGAGTGAGGGAGAGGAGACAGGAGGAAACTGCAGGGAGAGGATGTGGATGAGCGTGGCAGTTCAAGTCTCACCGGGTGGAAGGCATTGGGGATCCCTGGAACCACTGCCCTGAGGTTGCTGGGGGCCCAGCTGACACCCCACAACGCTGCATCTCTGGAGGGGCCCCCAGGTCCTCAGAACAGAGCATTGTCGGGGACGGTGAAAGTGGGCAGTGGGTTTCAGAGGCCTGGCCCCCCGACTGGGCCACGAGAGGAGGCGGGTATGCGGGGGAGGGGTGCAGGTGGGCAGGGAACCCTGGCAGGCTCCTCTCCCTCCAGGATGCTGGCAGCCCGGGCCTCCTCCAGGGCCAGGAGCAGATAGACTGTGCGTGACTGACAGTGGTGTTAATTGAGGGGCCAGGCGTGTCATGCTGGCTCCGTGAGCGGGCAGGCCTGCACCCCCGCCCCCAGCCCTCGTATAACCCACGCACCCAACAGCCACTCAGGAGGTGCCAGCGTTGGGAGGCCTCCAGGGCAGGAAGGGGAGGGCCCTGTGCAGGAAAATGAGGCCACTGTCCCTCTCCTTCCCAGGCTTGGAGCCTCACAGAACATAGTGTGACGCAGCAGCCCTGTCTTCTAAGCCAGGCACCGGGCACCGTGTTGGGTGCCGTGGGGACAGATTGAGCTCAGGCCCTCCCTCCTAGGTTGCACCCAGGCCAGTGGGGAGACGGACAGGTCATAACAGCAGCACATGGCCCTGCTCTAAGTGCTTTATGCATAGGAACTAGTTTGGTCCTCCCAACCATCAGCCTCCTTGGTCCTCCTTGGAAGGAGGCACTAACGCCATCCACATAGTACAGATAAGGAAACTGAGGCCCAAAGAGAGTAGATAACTTGCCCAGTGTCTTACCGCCAGCTGATGGTAGAACCAGGATTTGGACCCCAGCAGGCCAGCTCGAGATTCTATGTTCCTAACCCCTTTGCCCTGTTGCCAAATAGCCAAGGCGTGGCATGGCAGGGCTGCGTCTGGGGTGCATTTGGGGAGCACCTTGCTCGGGGGCTGGGGCGAGTCTGCTTTGGGGTTGGAGGTGGGGAAGGCTCTTGGAGTTGGTTTTAGTCCCGAAAGCCCTAAAAGTCCTTCTGGCTTTAACCTCCAATGATTCAGAGAGCAGGAGAGAGAACTGCCAGAGGAAGACCCAGAAGACCTTGATATCTGCCTAGATGTGGGAGTGAGAGAGACAGAGGTAGTGGTTTGGGGCTTGGGGGGCTGAGGAGGTGGGACCACCAACAGAGGTGGAGATGGGACTGGGAGCCAGGATCTTATTCACAGATTTGTGTCGTGCAGTTTTCTTTCACAGTCTACGTGCAGCCCATTTTTTAAAAATTACCCTTCTTAAATTATAACAATTATGTTTGTTGTTTGCAAATGGGCTGCTGCTATTGGGAGGGTTGGGGCAGCAGAGGTGAACGTGGCTTTAGCCACGTCGGGAGCGGGCGGCCGTGGGCCAGGCACAGCCGGAGCAAGAGGAGGACGGAGGTCTGGGAGTCCCCAGGAGGGGCAGGCAGAGGTCGGGGATGCCACAGGTCGGGGCAAGAGAGAAGATGAGATGGTGGGAGAGAGAGGAGGGGACCCAAGAGAGGAGAAGTCAGACAGAAGTATCGACTGCTGTTGTGAGAAGAGGTCCAGGGACCTGCTGAGAAAGGGCGGTTTTGTTGGAATGGTGGGTGTAGAAACCAATCACTCTTATTAAAATTATCGAGTATTTAGGACATGGGCCAAGCTGTGTCCTCATCAGTTGAAATGCATTATCTAACTTTGTGGACTTAAATTTCACAATAACCTTAGGAGGTGGGGACTAGTGCAGTGCCCATTTTACAGATGGGGAAATGGAGAAGCAGAGATTATATAACTTGCCAGAGCAAGGAGGAGGTACATTTCTCTTCTGCAGAAGTTGCCCCTGGGCTGGCCTTCTGGTCTGGGGTCCCCCCGCCTTTGCTGTGTCTCCAGTCCAAACAAGGCCAAACCCGAGGGACCCAGCCGAGCAGAGCTGGAGTTAGAGGAAATGGCGTCAGGGTCAGAGCCAGTGCAGCCCTCCCGTGGGGTGAAATGGGGGTGACGACAAGAAGCCCTCCCACTGCCTTCCCAGAATTCAGCCTACTTTCTTCTTGGACGTCGTGTCCCTGTTAAACCAAAGTTGTCTGGGTCGGGCTGCGGCCGCTCACTCACAGCTCGGTGTTGAATGAGTAGATTTTAGGAGGGTGTTGAGGGTACAGAGTCCTCACCTGGAGTGGAAAGAGGATTCACCACAGCTTCACGCCTCTGTCTGGCACGCCGGATGCACGATCCGCCTCTCCTCTGCATCCCGCCACACGCGGAGCACCCGGGAGGGCCAGGCACTTCCACACGTATGACCCGGAGGAGGGTGTCACATCATTCCAGGTTTGCACACACAGAAGCCCAGACTCAGGAGGTAGAGTCACTGCAGTATAGCCCGAGGGCGCACGGTGCCAGCTGGGGGGCTGGGATGCCAGGCTCACTGCCTGCCCCAGGAGAGGCCCTGACTCTGCGCTTCCGCCCCGAAGCCTCTCAGTGTTGGACTGACTCAGTCAGTGTGGGGCAAACCCCGTGGGGCCCGCTGCCTCAGGACTTGTAAGCAGCAGGGAAACGTCCCGTTCCTCGCCTGGGAGCGGCTCGTTAGGAGGCAGACCCGGCAGCTCCGGCTCAGAGGAGGCTACAGACAGTGCTGGGTGGGGTGCAGGGAGGGCAGCCTGCGTCTTTGCCCGCGCCCCTCACCCCTGCTCGCCTGCCGAGCTCACACACACCTGGCTCTGTCATTCCGGCCCTAGGTGTCCAGAGGCCCAGGACACTGGCTACTGGCGTCGCCACTGAACCACGGAGCAGCTGTGTGATTCAGGGAAAGCCACCTACTCTGCGCCTCCTTTTGTGATTTTGTGGAACCAGGATATTGTTACCAACTTGTAGCCCATTTCACAAAGTTGTTAGGAGCCCTCAGTGAGCCAACAGACGTTTATGCAGCCCCTAAAATTGCTAGGCATTGTTCTAGAAGCTGAAGATACGGCAGTAAACTAAACAAACAGAAATCCCTGGCCTGACGGAGCTGCCGTTTTCTTGGTGCATGGGAAGTGTTTGGGAGACGGGCGCTTGGGAAAAGGAGTTGGGTGTTTATTTTACTGTTAATTTTAAAAATTTTTTTCTCTTTCAGTACCAACTTTCCCAGAATTGAGTGTTTTAGACAGAACAGAACACATGTCAAATACTGACTGTGTGAATAAGGGGTGATACAGTTTGCTTCCACGGTAGCCCCAGAGTGGGTGTGATTATCCTGTTCTAGAGAGGAGTGGAGTCTCCGAGTGCTAAGCGAGTTGCTGAGGGCCACACACCCAGTGCCTGGGAGAGCTGGCCTGCCACCCCGGCTGCTCACCCAGGGCCTGGGGTCTTCCCTGTCCCCTCGCTGTCTCCCAGATTAGAGCCTTTTTATGCCACATAAGATGTTTATTTTGTGGGCTGCAGAGGCCTATTTCATTGTCGCACACCCAGGAGCCCATTCTCTTAGGGGCTGTCCCCAGAAGTCACAGTCGGCCTGACACAGCCTTTGTTGGGCCTGTGCTAAGGGCTTGGGAGCCAAGGCCTGCAGGCCCCACGTGGTGACCTGTCCGCCCAGCCAGGGCTGGCGGCAGCAGAACTGTAAATGGAGGAGTCAGAGCCATGCCTGGCTTCTCCCCACTGCCTTCCCCTCTCTCTGGGTACCACCCCTGTCCCCTCCTTCTCCCCTAGGGCTGTAGGTTGCAGCCTCTGAGCTGGTCTGACTCCCAGGTTGCAGCTGTCCCTGGGGTCTCGAATGCGCCCGGGTGAGTTTGCACAGCAGTCTCACACTCCGTGGCCCCAACCTTGGTTGCAAGTTCAGATCCCTGGGGAGCTTTTAACAAGCGCTGTGCCCAGGCTATACCCCAGACCAACTGATTCTGAATCTTGGGTGAGGCATCAGCATGAGTATTTCTAAAGCTCCCCAGGGGGTTCCAAAACGCAACCAAGTTTGAAAACCAGTGCTCTGGTCCAGTCAGTGGCTCTGGCTGCAGAGGCCTATGTCAGAATCAGTCAGGGAACTTGTCAAAGCCACCCATGCCTGAGTCCTCTCCAGGCCAGTTAAATCAGGCCCTCTGGCTGTGGGATTAACAAAAATCCCCCTGGTGATTTTGTGGCTATCCAGGGCTATCATCATGACGTGGGCCCTCCTACAGCCTCCGAGCACATGGTGGTCAACGATCTAGTCACCTGAGGGGCTGGTGTGGTGGTCGGAGAGGTACCCCTTGCCGTGGTCTCTGAAGGTCCCCTGCAGGGCTGGAGGGCTCTGGGGAAGGGCTGGGAGGCTGGCGAGCGGGGACGGAGAGACTTCAGCTTTGTGGGATGGTGGCTGTAGTCAGGGACTTGGTCCTGTCCTGGCTCAGACTCTCACCAGCTATGTGACTCTGGGCAAGTCACCGAAGGCCTTTAGGGCTCAGTTTCCCCGGCTGAAAGTGAGGGGTGGAGGGCATCGCTCGAGAACAGACGCCGCGCAGTCACCAGGGAATCGTCGAAAACAGATTCCTGGGCCCTGCCCCAGAGCTGCGAGGACTGGGCCTGGGAGTGTGCCCGAAAAGCCCCCTGGTGGTCATTCTGCCACGCAGCCAGGCTTAGATGCCACTGAGGTCACCTCCAGCCTTGTCGTTCCAGGAATTGGGGGTTGCTGAGCCCAGGTACCTAGGCTCAGGTGTCCCCTGATTTAAGAAGGTTTCATATGGAAGAGTACCTGAGCGCGGCCAAACGATGGCGAGAAGGAGGCGTTTTTGCAGACACCCTCCAGTGTGGCGGGCAGGCCTTGCTGGCGTGTCTCTGCAGCTGTTCTGCAAGGCCATCACTATCCCTGCCTTAAAATGGTGGTTCTTGGCTCCCGGAGGTAAAGTGACGTCCCCAGGTCCCACAGCGAGGGCCCAGCGTCTGAGCCAAGGGACGTCCGGCTCCATGTCCCAGCCTCATTCCCCTCTTTCCAGCCCTTCTTCACGGGCTTAGATTTTTTTTCTTTCCACAATAATCCATGTCAAAGAAACATAGGTTTTTGTTCTTCACAGAATTTTAAAGGATTCCTTTAAATGGTGGGCTTCTGTGCCTGCCCCGTTTTACAGGAGTGCTAGTTTACAAAAATCTGGTCTGTGCACGACCTACCTACCGGGCCTTCCTTCATTCCAGAGCAGTTTCTGCCCTGCTGTGGGTAAATCTGTCCCCTGCCCCTCCTGTCCCGAGGAGGCCTATCTGTAGGGAGACAGCGCCTCCTTCTGGGGGTCACAGAACCCGAAGGCCCACTGCTTGCGGAGTCCAGATGGGCCATGGCCATGGGCGAGATGATGGGATGTTAGCAGAAGACAGGCCCAGGCAGCTGCCTCTGTGCACCCCATTTAGAACTGAAGGCCGAGACCCCGGCTCCCCAGGCTTCTCTCACCGCCCCAGCCCCTGACCTTGCTGTGGGACCCTGGCAGCTCCCCTGTCCCTGGGCCTCCCCCGAGGACCGAGCAGCTGGCACCAAGGGTTAACCGCAACCCTCCACCTCCCTCCTCCCGGCTCTGGTCCGCTAGCCTGTTACCATGGGAACGTGGCTAAAAATAAAATGGGCTCTCAAAGCCCAGCCCCATGCATAGGAGTCAAAACAAACTAATTAAAGCAGCCAGGCTAAAATGTGAAGATAATTACACCCTCACTCAGGAGCCAGTCGTGGGGATGGAAAAGCTCAGCAGGCCGTCCCGGACGTGCAGGGCCGGCTCCCACGCTGCAGCCCCTCAGGCCCAGGTCCCAGCACAGTCTGCTGCCCCTCCCGAGAGGAGCCCATCCTGCTCGGGCCTGAGCCTCCCACCGTCAGCGCTCCTCCCTGGGAGGTCCACGGCATGGCTTCTTGCCGGGCTGTGCCCCGTCGGGGTGGCCAAGAAGGTGGGGTGAACTGAAGTCCGAGGCTGTTTTTTTCCACATCGTCCTCAAAATTCTGAGAAGTCCCTCCATAGCTCTGGGCTGCCTCTGTTCCTAAGACCTTTGCTAAAGATAGTTCCTTTGTTTCTTGGGCTGCCACCTCCCCACCCAGGGCCCTGGAGCCTGGAGGGTGTCCTTGCGTCCCCTTCTGGTCCAGGAGCAGGAGGAGGGCTCCATCCTCAGGCCCCTCCCACCCAGGGCCCTTTGTCTTACAGGACCATCAAGGTGGAGGTGTACGACTGGGACCGGGATGGCAGGTAAGCGGCCAGAGGGCACGAAGTGAGAAGGTGGGTGGGGATGGGGCAGCCACTGGGGAGGGGTTGAGCCCTGCCCTCACGTGGAGAGGACTGTGCCCGGGCCCCCAGCGATGGAAGCTCTGGGGGTGAGGGAGCCCGGGTTTTCCCGTGGGAGGGGTCTGCTGCCACGGTGGCGCATCCCCGCCCAGCTCCGCTGAGGCACCAGGGATGTCCTGCAGGATGCGGCGTGAGAGGCTCACAAGGTTTCCTTCCCCCAAATAGCTGCCCAGTGGCCAGCTATGCCTGTAATCTCACCGTGTTCGGCAGAATTTAGGACTTTCTGAAGTACGAATGTTCTAGGGCTCGCATGCTAGCATGTGTGGACACATTCTCTGTGTGAGGCCTGGGGCTAAGCATTGTGGGGTGACTGAGGTGCAAAAGATGAGCTCAGCCCTCAGAGACTCCCTAAAACCCAGTGGGGAGGCTGATAGACCATACGTAGCCCTTGGCTCGCCGGAGGAGCTGTTTGCAGAGAGCCAGGACCGGGGGAACGGGCTGCGGGAAGGGTGAGCGTTGAAGTGTGTGAGTGGACTCGGGCTCGAGACAGTGCCCGAGTGGGACTGTGTCTGGCTGGCGGGGCTTTGGGAGGCCAGCGCTGTCCCCTTCTGCAGACCTCAGTGCCCCCAAGGAGCGAGTGCTGCTGGGAATTCACAGACAAGGACAAGAGCAGGCCTCTTGAAGCTTTAGTCCAGAACCTTCTCTGGCTCCTTCTTGTCTGTCGAGCCCAGTCAAATATGTCCCCCTGACTTTTATGACCTCTCCATTCTGTGGCACTACCAAGGAAGGATGTAGGGGACTTCACAGTCCCCTAATCTCCACTGGTACCTCCCGCGTCTGTGACGGGGTGGGGGATGTTGTCTCGTCCTGGTGAAGTGCTGTGCGCGTGCGGCTCTAAGTGAGGCCCAACCCCCCCAAGGAACCCGCCCTCCCCGAGAACCCAGGGCCAGCACCACCTCTTCAGCGACCTCACCGCCAGTCAGCTCTGTGTTTTCACCGTCATTTGCCTCATCTTCCTCTGGCATTCCCATACTTCTGGAATATTCTCCTCTTCCGTGGCAGCTGGGAACAGCCACCAGGTGCCACTGGGTCCCACCATCATGTTACTCATAGTGAGAAGGCTGAGAGCTGTAAAATGCACTGAAATATGTTTGGGCTCACGGTGGGGCATCGCCTCCCAGCTGCACCCCCCAGCCCGCACACGAGCCACTGTCCTCTAGCAGGGACAGCGAGGGTGAAAGGGGCCAACCACGGGGTCAGTGGGGGCTCTGCTTTGTGCACGTTTTTGCTGCACGTAACGTAAACACACAGTGTGGGCACGGCAGGAAACGCCCGCAGCTGCCTGACTGCACGTAGTGCGAATTGTCTTGTTAAAAAATGTTTATCGGAGAGGAGTTTAATGAACACCTTTAAGCCCATCACTTGAATTTAACAATTGTTAAATTTTACCATATTTATCTATGTTTTATGCTAAGTCGTTTAAAGTAAATTATATGCTGAGTGCAATGGCTCACACCTGTAATCCTTGCACTTTGGGAGGCCAAGGTGGGAGGATCATTTGAGGCCAGGAGTTCAAGACCAACCTGGGCAACATAGAGAGACCCCCCCCCATCTCTACAAAGAAATTTTTAAAAAATTAGCCAGATATAGTGGTGTTCACCTGTAGTCACAGCTACTTGGGAGGCTGAGGCGGGAGGATTGCTTGAGCCCAGGAGTTCAAGGTTATACTGAATTATGATGGCACCAGTGCACTCCTGCCTGGGCAACAAAGCCAGACCCCTGTCTCTAAAAAAAATAAAATAAAAAAGTAAATTACAGACATCATGACATTTTGCCTCTAAATATTTCACAGGGAATGTCTAAAAAATAATGACATTTTCCCACGTAACTACAAATGCCATTATCACACCTGACACATTGTACAGTAGTTCTTAAATACCACCCAATATTCATTTTGTATTTAAATTTCCCCAATTGTCCCCTGAATACTTTTTATTACTGGCTGGTTCAAATAAGAACCCAGGTAGGGTGGGTTCCTTTTCTCCCAGGTCCTGCTCTTTGATGGGTGGCTTGGGGTTGATTGCTCCTTGGGTGACAACTGGGCTCTTTTCCCAGGGCCCAGCCTTGCTGGCGTGTGCTCCTGGAGTGGAGGCCCGCAGGGATGGGGAGCCAGGGAGGGCTGTGTGGGAGGCGGGGCGGCGTCTCAGCAGCAGTCTTCCCTTGCAGCCACGACTTCATCGGGGAGTTCACCACCAGCTACCGGGAGCTGGCCCGTGGGCAGAGCCAGTTTAACATCTATGAGGTGAGGCGGGCGCCCAAAGTCTGGGGTTTGCGCTGGTGATAAATGGCTCCCAGTCACGGGGGACGACAGTGAGCATGCTCTGGGCTGGGGGCTTTGCGTGTTCTGTGGGGTGCGTGTTCCTGTCCCATCCTGGAGTTACGGAGGCCAAGTCGCAGAGAAGTGTGAGAACTTGCCCAAAGCCACGTGGTTCAGTAAGTGGCAGAATCAAGACGCGGCAACCCAGCCGTGTCTGATCCCAAATCACTGAGTTATAGCACCCCCTAAAGAGCACTTCCAACGTGGGGAGGGTGACAGGAGTGGGGGCGGGGTAGAGGGTGGGGGACAGTATGGGAAGGTTCTGGGCTTCAGTCCTGAGGTCCTGAGTTCAAGGTGGCCGTCCGCTTCCAGTCAGAACAGTGTCAGCGCCTGCCAGGTACCTTACCTTTTCTAGAAAGAAAGAGTCCGGGGAACAGGGGTCGGGATACCTTCCTGGATCTGGCTCTGGAGCTGCAAAGCGTCGGACAAGGCACCTGATCTCTCCAGAGATAATAGCGTTTGCCCTCACAGGACAGTTTCTGCCACTGAGCCTTTGCTTGTGTGTGCTGTCCCCCTGCAGGGCCCTCCCCCTCCCCCTCTAGCGCAGGTCCTTCCAGCCACTCTGGTCTCCTGTGCTGTCTGCCTCGTCCAAGCTTCCACGGACATCGTGGCTCATGCCGAACCTGCTTAGTGGCAGGTGCTTCTAACCCTAACGACTGCTTGGGTTCTTGTCTGACTCTACCACTTACTAGCTCTGTGACTTTGGCCAAGTCCCTGAACCACTCTGTGCCGTGCAAACTGAGAGTTGTTGTTTTTTTTTAATATTTTTTTTCTTTTTCTCTTTCTTCTTACTGGACAAACTGAGAATTAAATAAGTTGATGGAACAGTGCCTGGCCCAGAGGTCCGCACCGTCTTCTGTTGTCATCTGCTGAGCGTCAGTGTGCCAGGACTCTCACATTTGGTGCCTGTCCCCGCATACTGGCGCTGTCCTCACACTGGCAGCCACTCAGCTGGCCAAGTTAGGTGACAAGTTGGCTTAGAGTCCCTTCGCTGAATCCGAATCCCTTGATACTTTCACTCCCTCGCCCTGTATCTGCTCCAAGTGAGCAGGTCTTGTGTTCCAGCTAGACATCCCAAGGACAGGCAAGGTGACGGCCCTTTCTGTTACCTCCCCTCACCAGCCAGGCCACTGCTGGGCACACAGTAGGTGCTTGTTATCCATCCACACGCTGAATTAGATCGAATGTGGCTATTGTAAAGATGGAGTGCGGATGAATTTATGTGAAAGGGCTCGGATACAGGAAAATGCTTTGTTTTCTGCATCTGTAAAGAGAGGGGCTGTCTTTTCCCCCCAACCTAGGCAGTGGCTTCCTTTGAGGAGATTTTTAGGGAGGAGAAGGGAAGAGGTCAAACCTCTTGGGTTTGGCTTCTAAAGGGGCTTGACAGGCCCGCAAGCAGCCATGATCTCTTGGGCTAACAGTGGAAAACGTTGCATTGACTTGCTCTCCCGACTGGTGAACTCTGCTTCACCAGTGTGTTGGCTGAGCCGTTCGCAGAACTCCCCTCCTCCTGGCCAGCCGGCTCCGTCTCCTGTGTGCCCACCCCAGGGGCCCAGGGTGCCTTGGGAGTCACCCTTAACATCCCCACCCCTCGCCCCGCATCCGGTCCACGACTAAATGCTGCCCGCTACCACCAAAATTTTCCAGCATTTGTCCCCTTTGTCTCAGTCTGCCACCACGATGCCACCACCTGCTTGCACGGGGCTTCGCAACAGCCTCTTCGCGGCCTTCCCGCCTCCCTCCCTCCTCCGCGTGGTAGCCGGGGTGCTCCACCAAGATGTAATCTGACCACGTCGCTCCCCTGCTTAACACCCGTCCAGGGCCTCCCGCCACCTCAGCCCGGTTCGCACAGGGGAGGTGGGAGGAGATTCCAAAAGATGCTCCCACCCCAGCTGAGGTCCACCGACCTACAGGGAAAAGTCCAGGCTCCTTCGTACGGGACCCTGTGCCCCCAGCCAGCCACCTGCACTGTTTGTGTAGTGAGTAGAGAACACATCACGTCACCTTCAGAGGCTCCTGGGAACCGTCCCCTGCCCTTCCCTCTGCCTGTCTCCCATTTCCAGCTCCATCTGCCATCTGAGGCTCTCTGAATCTCCGTGCTGTCTCAGCCTCTACCTGGGCCTCCCCTCTGTCATCTTCTCCTGGTTAGGGTCTGCTGGTCCTTGGAGACTCCCTGTGATGTTTCTCCTCCAGGACGCTGTCTCCACCTGCGCACCCAGTCCCACCACAGTCTGGGGTAGACACCTCTCCTAGGTGCTCCTGGGGTCCCCTGTGGCTGTTACCTGTTTGTGATGCTAACCACCCCTCCGAAGACCATGCGGTGGGGTCTCCCTCCCTGCTTTATCCCCAGAGCCAGCACAGCTCCTAGCCCCTGAGAGCCCCTCTGCGCCCCCATGCACAGGAGGGCAGACCCCAGACCTGTCCTGAGGGCCCTGGGGCATCAGGAGAGAAAGGTCATTAGAGCTTGAGGCTTAGTGGACTGGGGAGGTTCCTGGGCTGGCCCCTAGGTGGTGCTTGTCCCCTGTGTGGAACTTCACCGGCAGCCACTTAGGGCGGGAGAGGCTGGTCCCTGGGGGAGGACTGGCCCCTGGGGGAGGGCTGGTCCCTGGGGGAGGGGTGCTCCCTGGGGGAGGGCTGGCCCCTGGGGAGGGGCTGGTCCCTGGGGGAGGGCTGGCCCCTGGGGGAAGGCTGGTCTCCAGGGGAGGGGCTGGTCCCTGGGGGAGGGGTGCTCCCTGGGGGAGGGCTGGTCTCCGGGGGAGGGGCTGGTCCCTGGGGGAGGGCTGGCCCCTAGGGGAGGGCCGGCCCTTGGGGGAGGGGAAGGCTCTGAGGAGCACAGGAACCCTCGGGCGCACAGGGCACTTCCGGGGTGCCCACTTTACGGGAGGGTCTGAGAACAGAGCATTGCTTTGACGTTAAAACAGTTATATCAGAGAGTGGAAATGTGGCGTACGGGCTGATTTCAGGATGGCACAGAAGACTTCAAAGAAATGCGCTTGTGGCCGGGTCTTTGGCTACACCCAGAGCCCCAGGAGTGCGCGTTCACTGTCAGCTGGGAGGGCTGTTTGGAGGAAAAGTCAGAGACGTGTGGGCTCCATTCTAATCGCTCAACGCTCTCATGGCACAGACCGGGAAACCGAGCCAGCGCCGCGCTGGGCTGCAGCTTTCCCCATCGCAGCAGCTCGCTTGCTAAGCCGTGTCCCGTGAGCGTGTCTGTGAGCACCTCATCCGGGTCCTCCGGTACCGAGAGGCCTCTGAGCTTGTTCCGGGCTTCTCGCCCCACCCCGACCAGGCCCTGGGTTTCCGCCCGCGCAGCTTGCGGCCCTCCCGCCTGCACGTCCCACCCCTGCACGTCCCACCCGGGCCCCCAGTGCAGGTCCTCCTCCCTTCTGTGTCAGCCCGGTCACCCCGACCCCTCCCTCTCTCGTACCAGGGCCCAAGATGTGTGGTCACGTCTTGACAGGCTGCTCTTGCCGCAGCTCAGCGCCTGTCCCACACCGCCAGGACCTCATAGCTCTCACGTGGACTGGTGGAGGCAGTAGTAGTAGGAGCAGTAATCTTTAAAAGTAACTGACGCTTCTGTAGTACTTAGTACATTCCATAGCACTTACTTATATTGACCTATTTAATCCCCACAGCTTTCTTTGAGGCACATACTTTTTATCCCCATTTTACAGATGAGGAAACTGAGGCACACAGAGGTTAAGTAACTTGCCTAAGGTCATGTGTCTATTAGGTGGCAGAACCAGGCAAACACTCCCTGGATGTCCCTTCCCCTCCCCTTGTACTCACCTCCACCAGGTCCCAGCATCCTAGAGCCTGCGGTAATCTTGTCCCCTGTAAGCGTGGAGGTCATCAGAGTTCCCCGCAGGCTGCTGGGTGACATTCAGTCATTTCACTTGGCATTCTTGCCTCTCGTCCGGCCAGCCCACCTTACTCTTCACCCTGTGGTTCTACAATCCAAGTGGCCCCTGGTTCTGTGCTTCTCTCCCATGGCGTCTCCTGTGACATCCTCTCTCCCTGCCCAAAGCGCTCCTGTCCCTCCCAGCCCGCAGGACCACCTGCTCCGGAGAGCCTCTGCTGATGCTCCCACCTGCAACAGTCTTCCCTTCCTCCAGCTCCCCTGACACTGCTCTGGTTCCCCCTTTTTGGTGGCCCTCCTCACTTATCACCCTGAGAGCATGTCTTCTTTGTCTAACAGGAGTGACGACTCTAGGGGAGAAGAAATGGTACCCCCGCCCCATAAATACCTGTTGAAGGAAGGATGTGTTTGTATTTGTTATCAAGATGGCCACAGTGTATACGGTGCTGGCCTGAGGGCAGGAAACCTGGTTTTCGGCCGGGGGAGGTGGCTCACCCCTGTAATCCCAGCACTCTGGGAGGCCAAGGTGAGGTGGAAGTATCTCTCGATGTCAGGAATTCAAGATCAGCCTGAGCAAGAGCGAGACCCCATCTCTACTAAAAAAATAGAAAGAAATTATCTGGACAACTAAAAATATATAGAAAAAATTAGCCGGGCATGGTGGCACATGCCTGTAGTCCCAGCTACTCGGGAGGCTGAGGCAGGAGGATCGCTTGAGCCCAGGAATTTCAGGTTGCTGTGAGCTAGGCTGACACCACGGCACTCTACCCAGAGCAACAGAGTGAGACTGTCTCAAAAAAAAAAAAAAAGGAAACCTAGTTTCTAATCCTGTTACTACCCAGATGGCTGTGTGACCTTAGGCAAATCACTTGGTGTCTCTGTGCCTTAGTTTCCTTATTTTCAGAAGTAGATGTCAATACTCATTCACACAGAAGAGACCCGGCTAAAGATACAGGCTAAAGATGCAGCTGATGGCACTTGCAGGAGGAACAAGAGGTGCAGGAGAGGGGAAAGGAATTCGCCAGAAACCGAGCGGCAGAGCGGGCATGAGAATCACCTTGCTGTGATGGGCCGTCAGGGAAATTGTGCTTAGACTTCCCACATTAGAAACCAAACCAAAGAAACAGCCGGTGAGGCTCAAATGGGAGCACAAATACGGTCCGTTTGAAAGTCCTGGGGGGCTCTCAGGGCAAGGTGGCCCTGTCCCTCAGCCCTGTTTCTCTGCGTTGGCACTACTGACACTTGGGACCAGAGTGCTCTTTGCTGTGGGGGACTGTCCTGCGTGTTGTAGGATGCTCAGCAGCGTCCCTAGTTTCTCCCCCCTCCCCCGCTGGGACGCTTGTCACTTATCACCAGACATTACCAGATGTCCCCTGGGGAGGCAAAGTGGTCCCCGGTCGAGACCACTGGGTGAGCCCACCTACAAGCACTATGTGATTTGTGACCTGGTGACAGGTGTGGCTTGGAAGTTAAAGCTCACAGCGAAGGACAGTTTCGGGGGGCTTCCCGCCAAGTGAAGGTGGTGGTGGCAGAAGGGGGCCACGAGCCCCAGGGCGGCCAGGGGCTGGGTCCCAGCCGGGAAGGTTGGAGCTGGCTGAGGGAAGACGGGCGCATTGTGGGTGAGGGGAGCAGCCTGAGCCAACACAAGGGACAGGTACAGACAGGGCCACTGGGCGCCGTTGGGCCTTCTTTGGCTGTACAGGGTGGAGGGCATGTTCCAAGAAGCAGTGGGAAAAAGGGTTAAATAAACATCTGGTCGATCATGGGACACTGGGTCTGAGCCGGGAGCCCAGTTGTGTAACTAAATACCAGCCTCCCACAAAACCTCCCTAAACTCCACTCCCCGGCCCCTGTGGTCTCTGCACCCCACACTCTGCTGGGGCTGGGACCACACCCAGGTCGGTGGAAGCCCTAGACCCGGCCTGACTGCTCGGAAACGCTGTTTCTTACCCAGTAACTGGCTTTTCCTGCAGGTGGTAAATCCGAAAAAGAAAATGAAGAAAAAGAAATACGTGAATTCTGGCACAGTGAGTAGCCACCCCCTCCCTGCAGCCAGGTGTAGACGTTCGGAGCCCCGCGCCAGGTCTGGCACCGGGGAGTGGCGTGCACACGGAGTGGGGCTCAGGCGGGGGAGGTGGGGCAGACGGAGCAACAGCCCAGGGAGTGGGCGCTGCGGACCCGCAACAGGCGCTGTGTGCGGGGCAGGAGTCGCAGAAACGCCCACGGCCTTCCTGCCGGAAGGAAGAGCAAACTCAGTCGTGTTCGGGGGGGCCCCTACTCTAGGAAATTCCCCACTTAGGTGTTTTTCAGGGGCTGTGTCCCTGAGAGGCAGATATTATCATCCCGTTGTCATGAAAGAGGAGGCCGAGGCCGCAGGCAGGGAAGTGACTCCACCACGGTCACACAGCTGGAGCGTGGCAGGGATGGAGTCGGCGCTCCCTCTGACTCCAGAGCCGGAGCTGCTGAGGGCACCGCCTCTGCCCCAGCGCGACCACCCTGGCCCGGCAGGGTATTTACTGAGTGCGGCCATGTGCCGGGCACGGTGCTAGGCACGGGGGATGCAGCTGGGAACGGGACAGACCCAGGTTCCTGGTGCTCGTCCCCTAGTGTGGGGAGACAGAGGTGTGCACACACGCACACACCTGTGTGTGTCAGGTGGTTGTGACAACGTGGAAAGGGTAGACGGAGGTAAAGGGACAGGGATGCGCGAGTACGGAGGATACTGGGGAAAGGGAGTTCCAGCTGTAGGGAACAGCACGCGCCAAGGCCCTGAGGTGGAGCCCACACTACGAACATGCCCAAGTTCATCCTCTGCCCGTTCCCTCCTCACCCCACGGCCCCATGAGCCAGCGCAGCCACGCTTAGTGACTTGAGCCTGGCAAATGGCAACTCCAGACCCGGAGGAGCTCTTAGGGAGCTCTAGGGTTCCTTTGAGGAACCTCATTTTCTCCATCTGTAAAATCGGGCTAAGAAATCATCCCTCCCTGCTTACTGCACAAGGTGCTGACGGGCACCTGGAGACGCAGGCTTGTCAACCGTAAAGTGCTCTGTGCATTCAAAGGGGACTGACCACCGCTTCTCTAACTGCGGCTGGGAGTGATACGTCCTTTGTTCAAAGCTGCGGTGTTTCTCAGTGGGGTGCTGTCGGCATTTGGGCAGGATAATTCTCCAACTCACAGGACTTCCCCATACATTGTAGGGTGTTTGGCACCCCTGGCCTCTGCCCAGAGTTAGCGGTAGGGCCCCGGTCATTATGAGAGCTCCCCAGACTCTCCCACCCATTCCCAGAGGCTCCTGGGGGAGGCAGTACCTTCTCCAGCTGGAAACTCCTGGATGTACAGCTAAAAATAAAGAGGTTCTAAACCCCACTGATGTCGCCCAGCCTTCTTACTTCAGAGGTGATGCAGGCAATGTGGTTTGCCCCAGATCACATGCGAGGTAGGGACAGAGGAGGTCTTGGCGCAGGTCTTCTGACTTCCCTCTACTCCACCATTTCCCAGTCTTCCCCATGAATTCACCCAGGAGCCAAGATGCTTGTTAAAAAGCAGATGGCTGGGCCAGTTCCCTGGGGTTCCATTTTAGGAGGCCCAGGCTGGGGCCCCGGAATCTGCATTCAGTGCTGCTCGTACCTTACTACGTGCGGAACCCCCGGGCATCTTGTTAAAACGCCGGGAATCCGCATTTCTGCATTTCTAACCAGCCTCGAGTTGACGCTGCTGGTCTGAGAACCACACTTGGAGCGGGTGAAAGTCTGCTTTCACCCTGCAGGTCCCTGGGTGAATCCACATGGCCGGCAGGTTGGGGAAGTGTTTCCTCATAGGGGTGGTGGGGACGTGGCCGTCAACCCTGACTGCAGGTTAGACTCATGTGAAGCACTAAAAAAAAAAAAAAAAAAGATTTCTGAAACTCTGATGTAGCCCCAGAAGCATAGTTGCTCTGGGCTGCAAGGTGTTTTAGAAGCTCCCCAGGGAGCGTCCTGTCAGGGTTGAATCCCGTGCAGTAGGCCATTCCTGGTAAGTCTGAGCCACCGCGCTTGGAAGGAGGCTCTGCGGTTCTTGCAGGTGCCTGACGCCGTAACGACAGAGGGCGGGCGGCTGGCCCAGCTCCGCACTCACACACCCTCCCGGTGCCCAGGTCCTGCCAGGCCCACCCGCCGAGCCCACGCGAATGGCTGAATCTGCTCCAGTGGGGGCTGGCAACTACTAGAGGGGAGTTGGTTCTCTTAGAGAGCTGAACAGTCCTCTGCCCCAGTCTTGCCTCATTTCCTTGGTTTAGGATGCGAGGCTTTTACTTGTCTCCATGATCCTAAATTGTTACTGTCATGGGCTGCCAGGTAGCTGCCTGTCTCGGCAAAGCCAATGCCAATGTCTGTAGGTCGAGAGGCCTCTGCCTGGGAGAGGGGGCCTGGGGTGGTCAGTTCCCTCCAGGGAAAGGACACGCTGCTCATGAGGGTCTTGGGTCTGAGAGGGTGGAGGTCCAGAGACGCCAGAGGGTTGAGGTGAGACCAGTAAGGTTCAAGATAAGCGCAGGCCAAAGAGTCGTGTTTCAGGACTAATAGGAGCAGCAGGTGGAAGCGTGGGGCGAGTCAGCATTGCTGAGTCGGGAAGGCCCCCTGCCCCCCATACCCCACCACAGGGCCCCGGGCTGGACGGCCAGTGCCCTGGGCTTGGGCCCCTGTGCTCCAGGGACAGAGATCGGATGCTTCCGTTGAGGTCAGGAGTGCAGGCTCTGAAGCAAACAGATCCCCCTCTGTCCTGGCAGTGTCCTTGGGCGTGTTGTGTCGCCTCTTTGAGCGTCAGTATTGCTGGCTATAAAATGGGTAGGAATAGTACTTCACAGGGTGGTCGTGGGCACTGCATGCAGTAATGCGTGCAAAAGTGGCACGTGTCAAGTTCTGTAAATGTCAGCTCTTGCATCATGAACCATCCCCTGACCCCATGTTCCCCGCTGACCGAGTTCCCTTTTGTTTTCAAGGTCACCCTGCTTTCCTTTGCTGTGGAGTCAGAGTGTACCTTCCTTGACTACATCAAAGGAGGGTGAGCAGAGACAAGCGGTTTCATCGGCCTGGGGGAGAGGGGAGGGGCCCCACTCCCTTCCTCTTTGAAGCCCTGGGGGAAGCCCGAGATGCTGGGCTCTGAGCAAACCCCTGGATTCTGGGCTGAGACAACTCGCCCAGAGCCCTGCACGCCCCCGGCTCCCGAGCAGCTGCCGAGGGAACTCCCGAGCCCAGGAGGCCGGCCTGGGTCACGTCAGGTCCCCATGCAGAGACAGGACCTGGGGGTGATAGGGGCTCCATGGCAAAGAGTGCCAAGGGCTTGGGGAGGTGGAAAGAGCCCGGAGCTAGGCGAGAGAAGGCCCAGGCTCTAGGCCCCTCTGTCATGAATTTGGTGGATGACTTTGGGCTGGTCATTTCCCTCCCGGGGTATCAGGTTCCTCCTCTGTACACAAAGAGATGGGAGTAGGTGAGTTTTAAGGGTCCTCCCAGCTCCAGCTGCTGATACCTCTGATCTGTCGGGGTGCTGGGCGGTGATTAACCTGCTCATTGTTGTCAGGGACCTGTAAGGGGCAGTGGGATTGGGGGATGAGCCAGGGCATGGTCCTGGGGCCAGCAGGTGGTCAAACACGAGTTTAAGGAACAGGAAGAACCAGAGGGACGGCGTCCAGGCCCAGACAGGCGGGGAGGCCAGAAGGAGCTGGCCAAGAGCTCGTGGAAAGAGCCTGACGCGAGATGAGGGCCTGCCCGGCTTGCTCCCTGCCAGGACAGGTGCCAGGTCAGGGCGTGGGCAGCCGAGAGCCCACAGGTGCAGGCGGGTGAGTGGCTGCACCTGTCTGGAAAGGAGACAGGCAGGGGCGGCTGCCAAAGGCTCATCCCAGCCAAGCAGGCACCTGGCTGCCTGGTTCTCCAGAGCAGAGGGAGAAGGCAGGCCCGGGGAAGCCACGCCCCCTTTCCCACGACTCTGCTCCCTGCAGCCTTGAACTTGCACATTCTCAAGGTTGCAAGCTCTCCTTCTGCCCACTGAGCACACACCCTCCCTGCGAGCACCCAAGGGGCTCCTCCGCCCCTTCCTGCCCCTCCTGGGAGCCCGTTTCAGACCCTGCCCTTGCTCCCTTCTCTGTCCCATGAAGCAGCCACCCCTTACATTCCATAGCACCTGGAAATTTTCAAACAACCCTCCTCCTGTTTATCCTTCTCATTTGCATAGTGCCTCCGACTTACAGAACACAGTGGGCAGGGCCGGGACAGTTATCTCCATTGCACATAACTTGCCCGAAGCCACACGCCTAGATGGTGGCAAGGCTCCTTGTATCATGACATGCTACCTTTCATTCCATAGTAATTAATAATCCTGGCCCTGCCCGCCTTGCAACTTGCCCAGAGCCCTGCATGCCCCTGGGGTGTGGTGGGTGAGAGGAAGATGAAGACCGGCGAAGTAAAGGCTGTATGCTGCGAGGTCTCACTGAGAAGGAGCCCTGCCGGGTGCGGTGGCTCACGCCTTTACTCCCAGCACTTTAGGAGGCCAGCACTTTGGGAGGATCGCTTGAGGTCAGGAGTTCAAGACCAGCCTCCCCATTGCCCCTGTCCCTGCAAAAAAATTTTAAAAATTAGCCTGTCATGGCGGTGCACACCTGTAGTCCCAGCTACTCAGGAGGCTGAGGCAGGAGGATCACTTAAGCCCAGGAATTCAAGGTTGCAGTGATCTATGATGACACCACTGCACTCCAGCCTGGGTGACAGAGCAAAACTGTGTCTCAAAAAAATAAATAAAAGGAGCCATCAGAGGCTTGTCTACTGGCAAAGCTGGTGCCACCCTTGCTGGGCAGGTTAGAGCCCCAGAGCCAGCCCTCTCTTTAAACTCTCTGGAGAGCATGAGTCAGCTGGCTCCAGGGAGGGAGAGTCCTGCATGCATGTCCAGGCACGAAGCTGATGGAGGCTTTCGTCTAGAGACCCTGGCCTCCCTCTCCTGCCCACCTGGGCCCAGGAGGAAGGGGAATGAACACCTCTGCCCCTCCCCTGCCAGAGGAGGACCTGGTTACTCAGCAGCCTGCGTTCTGCCCTAGGGCAGCAGAGATTAGGCTGCAGGGAGTAATTTTCCCACAAACTACCTGCTTTCCGGTGGCTTTCTTCCCTGATCTTTTTCAGAACCCAGAGCAGCGGAAGACTAGTTAAGGAGTAAGGCCTGCCTTTCCTCCCGCATGTATTTGGAAGAGCCCCTCAGCTGTAGTCCTGCAGGCCAGTACCACCCCGCCAAGCGTTGCCCTGGGAGCAGGGCTCTTACCCTTCAAATGTCTCCCTTCCTCTACCAAAGACTTATTCTCTATATTCCACACTGAGAGATGACAGCAAATAGCAGATGAATATAGTCAGTGCTGTAACACCTAATTCCCTAACTTCAAGGCTTAAGACAAATAAAGGTTCATCTGTGGGATGTCAGGGTTGGGTGGAGAGGGGATCCATACAGTCATTCAGGGACCCAGGCTCTTGCTATCTCGTGGCTCCTTTTCCCCTAGAGGCTGGAGTCCACTGGATGCTCCGCCCCCAGCCAGCAGAAGATGGGAAAGAGCGTGGGAAGGACAGACGTGGCCAGCAGACTCTGGTTTGAGTCTCCTGCTAACCATGTCCTTGACCTTTCTTGGAGGATGAGGGGCCCATGAGCAGCAGCTCAGCTGTGATCAGGTAGAGAGAGAGCTGTGGTTTCTGATAAGGCCCTTCTGCTAAATGCAGGGAAAGTGAGGCCACCCTCGTCTTAATCATCCACGGCCCCAACTGAGAACCACTGGAACAGAGTTTCCCCAAGTGTGATCCCAGCACCCCCTACTCAGAAGCCCTAGATGAGGTCAGGGGATATTTGTGAAAGAGGCAGATTCTGGGACCCCACTCCAGACCAGCTGAATTGGCATCTCTGGTGTGGAGCTCTGGAATCTTCTTTTGCAACAAACTCCCCTTGTGATTCCACACTGAGAACCACAGGACTAGACTTTATCAGGGACTCATGTCTGTCAGCTTTGCCGTCTGCACCTGGCACAGAACCTAGAACAGCAAAGCCCGCAGAGAATTTCAACCCTGAATTTGAGTCCCCAAAACCTAACTTTTCATTATGGAAAATTTATTTCAAACATGTGCAAAAGTAGAGAAAAGGTATACTCAACCCCAGGTGCTCTTCTTCCAGCTTCAGTAATTACCACTCAGAGCCAGTCTTGCTCCATGCACTTTCCCCTTCACCCAGTTTTTCTTAATATTTATTTTATTTTAGATTTTTTTTTTTTGAGATGGGGTCTTGGTACATTGCCCAAGCTGGCCTTGAACTCCTGGGCTCAAGCAATCCTCCCACCACAGCCTCCCAGCATCCAGTTATTTTGAAGCAAATCCCAGCCATCACATATCGTCCCCAAATACTTCAGGATGTGTCCCTAAAATATAATGCTTTCTTTCTAAAACATAACCACAATACCATAGCCATACCTAAAAAACGAACAGTTCGTTAATACCAAGTATCTGGTTAGTGTTCAAATTTCCCCGTCTTATAAATTTTCTTCTAATTGTTTTTTTTTGAATCAGAAATCTGGGCAAGATCCCCACTGCGATTGGTGGTTTCGTCCCTTAAACCTCTTTTGATCGATGGGCTCCTCCGAGCGCCCGAGCGGCGTGCTGAGGCCGAGCCCTGCGCGCACCGGGAGGTTCTGACTCAGTCGGTCCAGACTGGCCTGAGAGGCCCAGCCAGTGGGAGGTTCTGGTAGTGATCCTTTGCCGGCTGCACTCCTGTGTGGCATTCAACATGCCCCCTGGCCCCTGTGTTTCCTGCGAATGACTGGAAGATGGCTCTGGAGGCAGCATCCGATTCAGGCTCCGTTTTTTGACAAGACAACTTCATGGGTGGTGTTTTGTTCTCTCCTCAGGAGATGCATGATGCCGGTTTGACTCTGTTTTGTCGCTAAGTTTTAGCCCTGAATCTGACTCCAAATTTGACCCAGAAATCCAGTGAGACCCGAACTCCCCCAGCACACGCGGGCGGGCCCAGGGGACAGGGTCTGGGGAGGAAATACACAATCAGAGCCACGTGCCCACGCAGAACGAATTCGTCTTAAAGGGCTTTCCCGCTGCCTAACGCTTTTGATGCCCACAACAGTCCTTTGGAGGGGGGCACAGCTGGCATTATGATCCTAGCGTCCCAGAACTGGAAGGGCAGGGGACCAGGTGGCAGTCAGGTTTCTCCCTCCCTGCCACGCACTGCGCAGCCTGCCCCAGCGCTGCCGCTCTCCGGGTGACTCTCCTGCTCTCTCCCTTCCAGGACCCAGATCAACTTCACGGTGGCCATCGATTTCACTGCCTCCAATGGTGAGTGGCGGCGTGGGGGACGGGGAGGGCTTCTACGGGCCGTGTCGTGGGCCCTGGCTGGGAGCCATGTCCCTGCGACTCTGGCCTCTTCCTCACTGAAGAGGCGGTATCTAGTCCTGGAGGACCAAAGATACAGCCAAGGTGGCAACAGTATCCCTAGGTGGCACCACGGACACTAACAACTCTGGGCTCTGGGGCTGTATGCCCTGAACACAGCCTTGCCCTGGAGGAGCACCCAGTCTCCCGGGGGCATGGGACAGTGTGTGCTCCGGGCCTGTGCAAAGCCCTGGATAAGAGACGATTCCCACCAAGATCAAATCCCACCTCCTCTGCGCAGTCCAGCCCCTAGGCTAGAGGGGAGACCTAGAGCCAAGACTGAGCTCTCTGGTCCTCAGGGAGGCAGGACCCAGCCCAGGGACCCCGTCCTCACCTTGCTGGGGCTGTCCTGGCTTCCTTCCCTCCCCCAGTGTCAGGCTGGGGCCAAGTGTCCAGGAGTGATCATGACACCAAACTGTGCATTGTTAGAAGCACCACCACCTTGGCTTCTGGCCCCCCAGTAGGGTGCTGAGTGCTCATTTTTGCACCAATCAGAAATGCCCAGGCCTCGCCCTGCTCAGCTGTGTCAGAAACCCCTCTTATGGCTGCAGGGCCCAGCATCGTATTGTGTTGGGCTGTCAGAGCTGGGAGGGACCTTAGTAACAATAACAGTAATGATAGTTATAATAATAACAACATCTGCTTAATCCTCACATCAATCCTGTGAGGTGGGAAGTATCATTACTCCCATTTTACAGATGAGGAGACTGAGGCTGAGAGGTTAAGGAGCTTATGCCAGATCACACAGCCAGTAGAACAATAGAGACAGGTTTGCTACCTTGGCAGTTTGCCGAACTGCTTCTTATTAGTGAACAAACAAGTAAATATGGACTATATTAGTGGTGACAAGGGCCCTGGGGAAAAACCAGGGCAGGAAGAGGGATGGGAGGATTGGGGGAGGCTGCAACTTTTAACGGGCTGCTCGGGGATGACCACAGTGAGCAGACGACCCTTGAGCAGAGACCTCATCTGGGGAAAAGTGTCCCAGGCAGAGGGAACAGCCAATGCGAAGGTCCCGAGGCAGCAACAGCGTGAGGCTGGGACTGAGGGAGTGACAGGGAGGATGGCAGGAGATGAGAGGGGCCTGGGGCCAGATCCTACAGGGCCTCGGGGGCTCCCATAAGGACTCCGGGTTTTGTCCCGGGTGAGATGGAGCGTTGGTGACTCGCACCGAGGAGAGCACGGTCGGCCTGGCGGGTTTGCCGGCTCTCTCTCTGGCGGCGTGCTGGGCAGGCGGGCGGGTGCAGGGAGAGCAGGTAGGAGGCGGCCGCAACCCTGAAGCCAGAGGGTGGTGGCACGGAGTGTGGGGGGGGTCCTGGCTCTGCCCTGAAGGCTCGGCAGCCAGGATTCGCTAAAGGGGAGAACTCGAGGTAAGAGGAGTCCAGGATAAATGAAAGTTAGGGGTTCTGCATTCTGAACCTGGGGTGCTGGAGGGTCCGGGCCGACAAATGTTCCCACGCCCGTGTCGCAGGAAACCCCTCGCAGTCCACGTCCCTGCACTACATGAGCCCCTACCAGCTGAACGCCTACGCGCTGGCACTGACCGCCGTCGGGGAGATCATCCAGCACTACGACAGCGACAAGATGTTCCCTGCCCTTGGCTTCGGGGCCAAGCTGCCCCCAGACGGCAGGGTGTCCCACGAGTTCCCGCTGGTAGGAGGCCCTGCTGGTGGGCGCAGGGCTGAGGGCTGGTCAGGCTGGGGTGTGGGGACAGGCTCGGGAGCGGTGCGGGGAGGATTTCCCGTCCTCTGAGCTCAGGGCTGTAAAGCGCAGCCCCTGTGGGTAGACCGCCTGCAGCGCAGAGGGGTCTTGGAGTGAGGCCTCCGGAAACGCACTCCCCACCCTGCTCCCAAACGCTTCCCCTCTAGGTCTGAAGCCACCCACAGCTGGCTCTGGCCTCCTCGTTCCTGACAAGACGCAGGGGCCGGTGGAGGGGAGCTGCGGCTGACCCATCCCCCAGGCCCCAGAAAAGAGGATAAGGGGGTGTGGGTTGGGTACGAGCAACCGCAGGTCATTCCAGGAGCTCCCCGAGTTGGTGCCGAGATGGGATGAGGTGGGGTCCCGGGGAGGATGTAGAATGTGGCATCATCTGGGGGTCCTAGCCCTGGGGAGGTAACTGCTCAGGCTCCCTCCCTCGTTCATGTGAGCTGGAGACGCTAAGTCACAGCAGACGGTCCCTGCTGTGTCTGGAGTGCCAGGCTCTGTGCTGGGCACAGGACACGTGAGGACGGATCAGTGGCAGGTTCTTCCTGAGCTGCTCAGACCCAGCAGTCACGTCAGGGCGTGGTGGCTCTCAGGGTTCTTTCTGAGCACGAGCAGGGAGTGGGGCAAAGAGGGGTTTGGACCTGCTCACCCGGAGCATGTACTGCCCTTCAGGGTGGGCCCCGGGAGCCCCTCCCCCGGCCCCAGAGAAGGGGATCTGGGAGCCCGGGGCTGCAGGCCTCCCGGCCCGGCTCTGTTCCTGCACATCCCCCACCGCCTCCCCGCCCTCCGTGCCCCCAGAACGGCAACCAAGAGAACCCCTCGTGCTGCGGCATCGACGGCATCCTGGAGGCGTACCACCGCAGCCTGCGCACCGTGCAGCTCTACGGCCCCACCAACTTCGCCCCCGTGGTCACCCACGTGGCCAGGTGAGTGCGGGGCCGCCGGACTCCCTCCCCGCAGCTCACAGGTCTGTGTTTCCACACCGGTCTCTTCCTGTGGACTTGCTTTTCAAGGAGCCCTGACCCTGAAGAGACCCCAAGAGCTGTCCCCCATAGTGTTCAGGGTCCTTGTTGTGGGGGGAGCGTGCCCAGAGCCCCGGGCAGACCTCAGCCTGCGCCGCCCTGCCCAGGAGCGCGGCGGCCGTGCAGGACGGCTCCCAGTACTCGGTGCTGCTCATCATCACGGACGGCGTCATCTCGGACATGGCGCAGACCAAGGAGGCCATCGTCAACGTGAGTGAGGATGGCGGGGGGTGTGTGGCTGGGGCGCAGTTTGAGGGGTCTCTTCCTCCCACTTTAGGGATACGCTGGGGGGTGGACTGGGGGGTGGCCTCTCCTTTCCCCCACCACCCTTGGGACCTGCTGCCGGCATCCGGCTCCTGGCTGGAGCCTCCTGGGACTCGCGGGAGGGCCGGGCGGTGGAGTGGGGGTGGACGGGGCCTGGCTAGTGAGCTCCGTGCCCAGCCCTCTACCGCAGTGGGCGGTGCACCCCTCCAGACTCCTGTGGCCCCCTCGCCAGCTGTCTGGAGGACTGTTGCACAGAGCCCTGCCGGCCTGGCCAGGCAGAGGAGGTGGGGGGCTCAGAGCGGGGGAGCCCAGGGACATGGCTCACCTGCCCGGTCTCCCTGTGAAACGCACCCCGCTGCGGCCGCACTGGCCCGTCCTCACAACCACATAAAAGAGGGGCCCTACGTGGCAGAGGCCCGGCGGCGGAGGAGGGGACGGGGCGGCTCGCACAAGCAGACCTGGGACCCACCTCTGCCTCCTTCCCTCTCCTCTTCTGGGGCCCCACCTTGGTATCCCTTGGTCTTTCTCTCTAACCTCCTGCCTGTCCCTGCCCCTTTCCTGTGTTTCTGTCTCTCCGTGTTCCCTCCTCTGTTTCTTCCCTGTCCCCGCCTCTCTTGTTTTGACCGGTGCCCTCTCCTTTCTCTCCACTGGCCCTTCGTTGGGTCCAACCTTCCCCCACGCCCTGCTGCCTTCCAGGCTGCCAAACTGCCCATGTCCATCATCATCGTCGGGGTGGGCCAGGCGGAGTTCGATGGTGAGTCCCGCGGCCGTCCCCCCTCTCTGTCCCGATCACCCACCCCCACCCAGTGCTTCCCCAGAGGCTCCAGGCCCCTGGAGAGGACCCTTCCCAAAAGAGCGGGCACTCACGCCTGGGCGCGTGTGGCTGGGTGAGTGTGCAGGGCGTGAGGGGGTGTTTATTTGCGCAGGGAGGGGTGTGTCAGGCCAGGGTGTGCGCCGCGCCCACGTCCCGAGGCTGTGGGGAGGAGGCCTGAGTCAGCCTTCGCCCCCCAGCCCCAGGAGCCTGGGGAGGGTGGGGAGCTGGAGCTCTGCGCCAGAAGTCTGAGGCTCGCCTGGCTGGGCTCCTCCTGTCTCCTGGCCTCAGTTTCCTCGTCTCCAACGTGGGCTGTGGGCCAATGGTCTCTGCCCTGGATTGGGCTGGGATTGGAGGACAAGTCCTGCCAGGCCCAGGTGTCCGCCACTAACCTGCCCCGCCCCCCGCCCTGCTGCCCCTCCCCGCGCAGCCATGGTGGAGCTGGACGGGGACGACGTGCGGATCTCCTCCCGGGGGAAGCTGGCTGAACGGGACATCGTCCAGGTGAAGCCCAGACCCTGCCTGCTGCATGGGAGATGCCGGAGCCCGTCTAGCCAGGCTGACCTCATGCCCCCTTTGGGGGCTTCCCTGGGGAAGGGCCCTGCAGGGAGGCGCTGGAAGCCCCAGAGTGACCTGGCCACCAGAGAAGGGAACGGGACTCGTCCTCAGGCCACACTTCTCTCTGGGCTGGACCCCTCCCTGCCATGTCCAAGACTCAGCCCCAACGTTGGTGCCCCGAACATGACCCAGACACTCTGCCAGCCCTCCCTGAGTCCCCAGGCCCCTGTAGTCTTGCGCTTTCTGTTGTTTTCTGCCTGGCAGCCTTCGCAGTGAGAGGTCAAACCCCTTGAAGGTGGAGGGGTGTCTTTAGTGCAGAGCCCTCTCCAAGGGCAGGCGCCCCTCGGTTAACTGAATCAATGTCTTCACACCCCCACGTAGGATGCAGAATGATGAGCAGAAAGGTCTTCGTCCTCAGGGATTTCCCAGCCAGCCAGGCAGATGCCCCTCAGCCAGCACTTCCCTCGGGAATCTGCAGACGGGGCCCTAGAGCTTAGGATATGCGGCGTAAAAAACTGACATTCTCCATACCCTCTTGGTTTAAAAAAGAGTATCCCGGGTTGGACGCCAAAGATGGGGCTGGGAGCCAGAGCGAGGGTAGTCTGGGAGGTGGGACCAGCCCCAGGCCAGGTCCCGGCGGCAGCAGTGAGGGAGGAGGCCAGGGAGGCCTGGCTTTGGGTGTCGCCAGATTAGCCCCAGAGAGACAAGGGGAGGAGAGAGGCCAGAGACGGGGCTCTGCGGAGAGCGGAGGGCACGTGCCACAGAGGTCAGGGGATGCAGTCAGCGTTCCCTGAGCACCTGCTGGGTGCCCCGCTTGCGGCTGAGACTTTGGAGCCCAGGGAATCTCGTTCCGTGGTGTGTGGTGGCGTGGAATAGGTGCTCAGTGACTGTCCGCTGAATGAAAGAACCGTGACTATGACACAGTCAGGGAATTCACCAAGGCGGGTTAAGTAAAGTGAGCAGAGGCTGGAGGTGGGGCGGGGACATGGCCCCAGGCCTGGAGATCTGGGGGGCTGGGGTCCAGTGGGAGGCACTGCCCGACTCTGCCTTCTCTCTCGCCAGTTCGTGCCCTTCCGGGACTACGTGGACCGCACAGGCAACCACGTGCTGAGCATGGCCCGCCTGGCCCGGGACGTGCTGGCCGAGATCCCCGACCAGCTGGTGTCCTACATGAAGGCACAGGGCATCCGCCCGCGCCCCCCGCCCGCAGCGCCAGCACACTCACCCCCGCAGTCCCCAGCCCGCACGCCCCCTGCCTCCCCCCTGCACACACACATCTGAACCTGCTCCACAGCAGGCCGCCGGCTGGGGCCTGGGGGCAGCCGGTGGAATGGTGGGCGGAGTCCCCAGACTCCCCACAGACGGCCTGCCTGGACTTTGGGACATCTGTGTGCCTGGGAGGCCGGCAGGGGACCACTGGAGACCCCCATTCAATTTCCTGGCCCCACTTACTGGCCAAACCCAGGGAGTTGGGGGGTACAGGTCTTGGAGGGGGTACAGGGTCTGGATCCCAGCTCTTCTCTTCTTCCCCAACACCTGGCTCTAGCCCAGCCAGAGAGGTGTGAAAAATAATCGGGGTCCCTGGGGTCCCCATCCCCCCAGGCATCTCTACATTGCTCACCTGTCCCTGAAGCCCGGGCTTGGCCTCCTCCGGCCCCTCCCCCATCCAGTGGCGTCTGCTCCTGTCCCCGGCCCCCACCTCGTTATCTATCCGGTGCCCTATTTCTTGTGACCTCTCCCAGGGACACTGTGTGCAGTGAGAGCCCTGTGGAGCCGTGGGGGCTGCGAGGGTGGACCCTGGGCCACAGGATGGGCCTGAAACAGGGGTTTTCAGCAGAGTCCTTTGAGGTGCCTCTCAAGCCCAGCGTGGCGTCGGCTCTAGACACGCAGATGCGCAGGCGCCGCCACGGTCCACTCCTAGCTCCGGGCACCCCGTTCTCCCTCCAGAGGCTGACAGGGCCCTTGGTGCCCCCTGCTCTGCCCGCCTGGGGGCCCGGCAAGGAGCAGCCCTGCTCTGGTGCCCGTGTGCCCCGCTCTTTGCCCTCTCAGCCCTGGGCACGAGCCTGCCTCCACCCTGCCTGCGGGGGAAACCCACGCACGGCCCTTCTGCCTTTCGGGCCTCAGTTTCCACGGGTACGGTGAGAGGGTTGGCCAGACAGGCCCAGTCTTCCTTCAGCTCCGACGTCCTGAGGGTCCGTACATCCCACGCCCAGCTCCCCCCACCACTCCTAACAAATGTGACCTTTCACCCCAGGCCGTCTTGGCTCTAGGGTCACCCTGTCTCATCCCATCACCCCAGACACACCCTGGTCCTTCATCCTTGGGCTTGGCATCTGAGCCGAGCTCTTGCCCCTGCCGTGGGCGGGGCGGGAAAGGGCTCTCGCGCGAGCCCCCGCCCTCTCGGGGCGGGTCACGCATGCCAGTCCCTCCTGTGCATGGGGCTCAGCCCGCCGGTCCCTCGTGCCGGGTGGAGGCAGGCCCCGCCCTGTCTGCTGCCCGGCTCCACTTGCCCCTGTCATGCATGATGGTGGTGTTTCTACGGTGTCTGGTCCTGTGCCCGTCTCTGACAATCTCTGTGGAATTTGCCTTAATCTGAAGTAAATTTGGTTCTTTTAGTAAAGTCCCTTGTTTTTCTTCTCCTCTGAAAAATGCAGCACAGATGCTGCTGCTCGGCAGTCCAGGTCCTCTTCTCTCTCCTCCCTCGGTGCTTTTGTTCAGCAGGGATTTCCTGAGCAGGCGCCACGCGCCACGCTCCGCTGGGCACTGGGGACGCCGCTGTGTCTCCGCGCTGCAGCAAACGCGCGAGTGAGCTGGGGACGAACAGCAAGCGTATGAACGCACGGGTCAATCACGTCACTGCGGGTATGGTGAGCGGGAGGAGAGACGATGAGGGTGGACAGTGGCGGGTGATGTTCTAGGCGAGGGGTCAGGGAGGGCCTCTCTGAGGAGGTGGCAGGGAGGAGAGCCCCAAGGAGGTGAGACCAGGAGCCAGGCTGGTATTCGGAGAGGGCTCCAAGGAGGGGAAGAGCGCTGAGGTCGGGCGGCGTGGGCGTTCGCAGGAGCGCAGGGAGGCCGCAGCTGAGTTGGGAAGGGAAGGTGCGGGAGAGGGCTGGGGGTGAAGAAGCCAGAACGCACAGGGCCTTATAGTCTGGGGGGCCTTTGGCGTTTACTCTGAGTGAAACAGCAAGTGAGAGAGGCCACACGATCACTTCCTTGCGTGTGATCACTCAGTCACTCGTCTCACATCAAGTACCCACTGAATATTAGCGCCGGGCCCCACTCAGGTGTTGGAGGCTCACGCACGGAGTCGTACGCTCGGGGGATCCCCTGCTCCAGGGGGGCAGTGAGCTACAATCGTGGGGTACTGACGCCAGGCCGACGGGAGGGGCCGGAGGCTGTGGGCACCAAACGGGGCTCCTGGCCCGGCATGGATGACTCACGGGCCGTGAGCCCATGACAGGTTCCTGCCCTCCGTGCAACGGGGCCATCGCTCCTCCCCTGCAGGGCTGTCGTGTGGCCAGAGTGACAGGTAGCACGTGCACAGGATGTTGTGACAAGTGCCCGGGACACACTGTGCTTTAGGTGCACAGGAAACACCGTTTTCCTCCCCTTGTCCCTCTTCACGTATAAATCCCTGTGGCCATGAGGGGCCAGCATCACAGTGGAAGGGGACACACCCCTTTTCCAGGCGAGTTTGTTCTCGGATTAGCCCTCCAGGGAGCCATTCCCAACCTGCGTGTCACAAGGAATTCAGTACTAATTATTCCGAAGTTTGGGACTTGTTTACTTCTTACGATTTTATAGTGAATTAGCTGATTCATGGCTGTCCCTGTAATTAGACGCCCCTCTGACCTGCATTCCGATATGCTTTGAGTGGGAACGGGGTGGGGTCGCAGCTCGGCAGAAGGGAAGTTCCCAGAACCGCTCCGTGGGCACCGTGGGAACGTGTTGGGAGGAGACGCCTGCCTGGCAGACAAACCGAGGCTCAGAGCCGCTGCCCCAGGACGGGACAGGATGCCGAGGGCGTCTGTTGTGCCCGACGCTGTAGCTTCTCTCCTGAGTTCCTTCCCAAGGTGTGTTCCACAGGATGCTGGTTCCCTGGCGTGGAGTTTGGGAAACCACCTGCTGTGAGCCCCTGTCAGAGAATCTAAATGGCCTTTAGGATTTCCAAGGCTCTGATAAGTCCTACAGCGAAGATTTCAGTTTGACTTGGTGCAACACAATGTTTCCCAGGCTTTTCACCAGAGAATCAGGGCATGTGCGCATGTGTGCGTGCATGTGTGTGTGCGTGCGTGTGTGTGTGTGTGTGTGTGTGTGTGTGTGTGCGGTGTGTGTTTAGCTGGTAATGCCATCATCAAGCAGAACATGCTGTCTTGGGGATTTCAGCAGAGACAGTGTCCCTGGTTTCCAGGCCAACACGGAAGACTGAGGCCTGCTCCAGGGAGGCCGGTGGGTGGGGAAGATGGAGCCCTCAGCTTGGGCTCTGGAGAGAAGGAAGAGGCCCTAAAAGAGATCCCCGCCCCAGCTACCTCAGGGGAGACACCGCGGGGAAGAAGGGAGGATGTTCTGACACTCACAGGCACAGACTCATGGCTCCATGGTGGACTTTTTATTTTTGTTCCCATCTTGGGCCAAGGGGTGTGCGGGACAGAGCTGCAGAGGGGTGGGCAGAGAAGGGAGGGGCACTGAAAGGCACTCCCGGGCTCTGAGCCCCAACCCGGGCTGCAGCTGTCCCCCCAGCTCTGGCCTTCAGAATTGAGGACCGCAGGCTGCAGCCCCCAGATCATTCCTCCGCCTACTTCTCCGCCTTTGGAAGCGCCTCTGCCACCCTCTTTTCCACTCACTTCAGATGCCCCTGAATTGATAAAATGGTAACAGTAGCCACGACCAACACGCATACGTATGCACTAAGCACCAGACACAATTCTACGCGCCCTACATGTGTTTAGTGAATTCGTCCTCGTAACAGAAGATGAATGTGAAGAAGGTGCAACTGAGTGTCAGCCCTTCCACCACCCTGGCCTCTGAGACCCCCACTGGGCCCCACGGGCCAGGCTGGACTCTTTCCATCCCCGTGGCTGCCCCTCCCACACCTCTGGGACGCCTGGCTGTCAATGGCCTACAGAAGAGGTCCCGGAGTCCTGCTCGGAAGGGGCGGGAGAGGTAGAAGCAGAGGATGGGGCTGACTGCACAATTGGAGTAGGCCAGGATGGTGCAGAGGCTGGAGGCCACAAAAGCCTCCAGTGTGGAAGGCAGGAGGTCCGTGGCCGCCACACAGCCCAGCACGGAGCAGGGGCCCCACATCAGCACGAAAACCAGCAGCGCCACGAGGATGAGCCCTGTGTTCTCTTGGTGCTCCTGGATGCTCTCCCCGTGGGACCTCGCAGCCACGGCCGCAGCAGCCAGCACATGTGGCTGGAAGAGCAGCCCAGCCCCAGCAGGCGGGGCAGGAAGGCCAGGGCTCCCAGCAAGGCGAAGTAGCAGGAGGTCCGAGCCAGGCTCAGGAGCAAGAGGCAGGCCCGGGTCGTGGGGGCCCCCGCCGTCTCCCCCTCCACTGCCACCTGCTGGAATAGCCAGTCGGGCAGGGACGCAGTGAGGCCCAGGACCCACATGGCCCCACACAGCAGCAAGCGGGTGCCCCGGCCAGCTAGTAAGGCCACATCAGGCCGGGCCGCGGCCACAGGGCACAGAAGAGCTGTGGCCACCATGCTGCAGAAGGTGCAGAACATGGTGGCCATGTTGGCGGCCTGGCTGGTGGTGCAGACGGCAGGGTGCAGCCCCCGGCGTGTGGCAGGAAGCTCCGCAGCAGGAGGAGCAGGTCGGATAGCGTGATGTTTGCCATGAGGCTGTTGGTCAGGGCGAGGAGCGGGTGGGGGCGCCTGGGCCCCGGCCCACCGCCAGCAGCATAAGCCGTTGGCCAGCAGCCCCGCCGGCAGGATGGCACCGCAGACCCCGGGATGGCTGAGCCGGAGCAGTCGCACAGGTGTGGTGGCGAAGGAGGCAGTGAACGTGGCGTTGGGCTCCGTTCTGTGGCAGACACAAGGACAGCGCAGGAAACAGCCCCAAGGCCGCTTCCCCTGCCCCTGCTGAGCCCCCTCCTTCCACAGCCCCCGCGTACAGCGGCCCACACATGTGCCTGCCCTGGCACACATCGGCCCCTCCAGACCCCACGGCAACCTGATGGGATGGGCCCCATCAATGCCTGAGTTCAAATCCTGACGCTGCTACTTGGCAGCTCTGGGGCCTTGGGAGGATTGATTACTTAATGTTCCTCTACCTCAGTAACGCCTTGTGATATCTTTATTTCTAAAATTTCTGCAGGGAGTACAACTTGCTTTTATAATCTGATAAAGATCACACACACACATCTATGAAATAGGCAGATTTAACTTAATTCGCAGTTAAAATGAGAAAGAGAATACGGAAGGGCTTTGAAAAAGTGTAAAAAGCTGTGACCAGCGGTTCCAAGCTTGTCTTCGCATTGGGATCACCTGGGGAGTTTCAAAAACACAGAAGCCCCAGAAACACGATTTATTAGTCTGGGGTCTGGCATGTTTGAAAGGTCCCAGCTGAGTCTTGGGCAGACCGGCGTGGGCACCACCGCCCTCCGGGTTGTGCCGTGCGAGTCCCTGGCAAGGCGAGGGGAGGCTGCACCCAGCTGCCAGTCCTTCCTCCTCGCCCACCCGTGTCCCGTCCCACAGCCCTCCCCCACTCAGGAGGATGTGGCAAGCACCCCGTGCCTTAGCTGCTCCCTAATTTGGGAGTATTTCCTAAGCGTTTCTCTGCGCCAGGCCCTGCGGATCCGGCAGCACACAAGGCAGCCCAGAGGGGTCCTGACTGCAGTTTCCTCCGCGTTTCTCCTGCACGGGGCGCCTGGGAGAGACCCTTCTCTTGCGTCCGAAGCCAGGTTTGGAGGCGTCCCTGAGCCCCTCCTGCAGAGCCCTGCCTGCAGGACTGGCGTGGTCTCCCAGGCCCCAGGGCAGCTGAGCAGAGCCTGCGGGGACCTCCGTGAGTTCTGATGCCAACGCCCCTCTGGGGGCCCAGACTCTGGATCCAGGGACCGCAGGGGAAGGAGGAAATGAGGGACCTGCCCAAATACCCCAACCGCCCTGGACGAATGCGGTGGGTCGGCCACTTTCCTGCCATTTGTCATCGCCTTCTCCTCTCTTGTTCCTGACCCACAGCCGCCATGCCACGGACTATTTCCGGAGAGGAGGTGGGGAGGGCAAGAGGCTTGCGGGACTTGGCCCTGCTCCGCCCAAGCATCCACTTCTTGCTGTGAGAAGTTCCAAAACCCAAGGGTTAAGCTTTCGGGGACTGGAGCCGGGTTTGAGGCCAGCTCCAGCACTTGCTGGTTATGTGACTGCATCACTCTCCTCGTCTGTCAAACGGGGACAGTAACGTGCCAGTCGCATGGCGTTGACGTGAGGATTAAATGAGGTACTAGGAGTCAAGTGCTCAGAACGGGGCCTGGCACGTCACAGGCGCTGCGTAGAGGATGGCTGCCGTTCTGCCCGCGCCCACCCTCAGTTCCAAAAAGCTCTCTTCTCCTGGAGTTCCTGCCCCACCTCCATTCTGCCCCCCGCCCTCCCCTTCTCAGTCCACACCAAGAGCCCCCTCAGCCCAGTCCTACCTTCCTTAATCAGCCTCGAGCCGAGTTGTAGCCAGGGGCCCCCTTGGCTGACATGCTGTGAGAACTTGCCACCTGCCTGAAAGTTCACTCTGAAGTCTACCGCGAGTCCCTCCTGCTGTTGTCCTTACCCACCTCGTGCCGCTCTGAGGTTCCTGGGCCCTGCTTGCCAACTGGCGAGCCCTTCAACACTGGGAAAGTCTGGTGGCCCCTGTGCACCTGGCCCCTGCCTGGAAGGCGGATCCAGCCAGAGGAAGGCAACGGAGGGTTCTGGGTGGTCCCTCCCAGCGCCCCGCCGCTAGGGCACCTGAGCTGCCTGAGGCCAGAGCAGAGTGAGATGGGAGGGGCAGGCCTGGGGACCACTCCTGCACTGGGCCCCGCAAAGGATAAGGGGCTCCGTCTGCTCTGCTGGCTCCCTCGGGAGTCACACCTGCCTCCCTGCCCATTAACCCCCTGGCCCACAGGACAGAGATGGCGGTGCCTGCCGGGGCCCTGGACCCCAGAGAGAGCCATGAGCAACGGCAGGACCTGCCCCCACCCTCAGCCAGGGCCGGGACTCACTCGTTCCAGTCCCTGCACGCAGGGCTTGTGGGCTGGGGACAGGGTCGGAGAAGGGAGAAGACAATGGGGGAGGAAAGAACCAGCGAGAGGCCCAGTAAGAGGATCAACTGGCCGGATCACAGGACTCATCCGCAGATAGCCTGAAGGTGGCATGGGCTCCCTGGAGGGCATCTAACCCAGCCTTTGCTGGCTTCTGATGCTAGAATCTTCTCCGCCTCACCTCCTGCCAAGTGTCACCTGGCTCTGGCTGTGTGCCTCAGGTGACGGGGAGCTCACTGCTGCCGAGGCAGCCCTCGTAGAACCGAGAGAGGGATGGGGCCAGGAGCTAAGACTTCGCTTAACCCGGTGGCAACGGGGCTCTGCCCTCCGCCACCTGCTCTCCTCAATCTGCTTCATCCTCTCTCTGTAACTGTCCCTGGACCCGTCTTCGCTGGTCTCTCTGTGAAACTGAAGTCTCCTCCGATTCAGCCGGGGAGTCCCCCAGTGCCTGAATGGTTGCCAAGTCCCAAACTCAGTGCCGGCTTGTACCGGACATTCAGTTGGTGGTGATGGCAAGATGTGACAGGCATTTGCCACAAACACAGACAACAGGGGACAGGCCGACGGGAGAGGGGCTGTCTCTCTGACTCCCCGAGGGCACTAGGCGCTCTGGCCCTGGGCTATAAGGTGCAGCCACCTTTCAGGAGGTCACAGTTGTGGGGCTCCAGGAACTCCTGCCGAAGCTCCAAAGGGAAGCCTGTCAGTGAGTCTGAATCCAGGGTCCCCGCTGCTCCCCAGGCCACACCAGCCACACCCCAGCTGTGCCTCACATGCGTCCAGAGACTGACAGCTCAGGGCAGAGGGCTGCCCCTGGGGACGCTGTGGCACTGGGGCAGGGGGCAGAGCTCCCGAATGTGACCCCTTGGAGGTGGATAATGGGGAAAGGAGCGAGTTGGGGCTCAGGGAGACCCGAGGGCATCGGGGCCTGTCGGGGGCCATCAGAACATCACTCTTCCCCAGGCATGGATCCTGCACTCGCAAATATCACAGCAACAACGAGCGCAGCAAGGGCGGCAACGCCCCGCCGGGCAGAGAGCATCGAGACTGCTTCCACGAACGGAGGACTTCGTAATTAACAGATTGTACCCATTAGGAATCGGCACCAAAGCAAGCGCCTGGAAAAGTGTCTTTCCTCCTTCTCAGCCTTTCTTTCCTGTTTATCTGTAGAATACCCCGTCATTGTAGAAAACCTGAAAATACAAATATGTATAAAGAGGAAAATAACACCCCCTCACAATCACCCTATCATTTTACCACCCACAGATATGTAGCCAATATTTTGGTGTATTTTCCTTAAGCTGGTTTTCTAGACTTTTCCTTTCTTTAAAGAGTTGTAAAGAATACCCCCGGCCCCCAAGCCTTATTTACAAAGCGAAGTCCTTCTCTGGAGGGCAGAGGGCAGAGGTAACACAGCCTGCGCCCTGGACACCAAGTTCTGATTTGAGGAGAATGTTCCTGAACTTCCAAGCTTGTCCTGTCCGTCGTTGCTGTGTCCTGTGAGGCAGGATGGGAGCTGGGGGAGGGGGAACCCAGGGGGGTGGCCGTGTCCGGACAGGACAGGCAGTCAGGAGCAGCAGCCGGCTCTCTTGCGCGGGCTCTTGGGGGCCACCTCCACCAGCGAGCCCTTCAGGCGGTCCTCTTGCGTCTTGAGTGCCCTGCGTGAGGATGCACAGGCATCGGCCCTCTCTCACCTCCCGGGAGCAGCACGGAGGGGCCCTGGGTGTGGCTGCGGGGCTGGGAGGCTGCACCCTGACCACCCCCAGCAGCTCGGCCCCCACCCTGCACTCCACACGGGAGCCGCAGAGACTTCGGCCTTCTGACTCTTTCTGGCACTCCTTCGGGCCTGCCGTGTGCGGGCGCCGTGTGCGGGGCTCTGTTACTACAGAGAGGCCAACATTCCCTGCCTCGAGTAGTGAGGGAGGGAGACCTGCAACCAGGAGTGACCCTGGATCAGGGGAGCACGCAGAGGACCTCATGCCGGGTCCTGGGGGCATTCGGGGAGGAAGGAGGTAGTATCTGAGCCAAGACCTGAGCCATGGACAGGGTTTGCTGGAAGAAAGAGGGGCGCGTCCTGGGCAGAGGGCCAAGGTTCAGGGTGGAGAGAGAGCTTGGGGGCTGGGAAGTATTTATTCACAGGATATTTGCCACGTGCACCTGGAGCTCATCTGCTCTGGCACCCGTCACCCCTTACTCATTTTATTCATTTACCGAGCACCTGGTATGAGCCAGGCCCTAGGTATGGAGGGAGGGGCTGACGAAGCAGACATGGCCTTGCCCTCCTGGACAAGCAAACAGACAAATGCATACCTAATTACGACAAATGTCAATCTGACAATGAAGGACACAGACGGAGCTGTGATCTAAAGTGGGATCGGGAGGGGGTGGTCAGGGAGGGCGTCTCAGTGGTTGGAGCTCGGTGTGTGTGTGTGTGTGTGTGTGTGAGAGAGGGGGGGGGGGGGAGAGGGAGAGAGAAAGAGAGCAGGGGAGACAGCACTAGAGAGGGTACAAGCATCTGGATTTTATTCTAAATCCATGGAAGGCTGGGGGCAGGAGACAGACACTCCCTTTCCCAGTCCACTTCACAGATGAGAAAACTGAGGCTCAGAGAGGGGAAAGGGCGTCTGGGGAGGGATACAGCTAATGGGAATGGTCAGGCTGGAGTCAGGAGACTCTCAGTGCAGTGCTCTCTCCCTCCCTGTTAGGAAACTAGGTGCTTCCTTGACCCCTTTCCTCAGAATGGGCCTTGCCTTCCCACACAGGAGTCAGGAATGGGGCTGGAGACTGTTCCAGAGGATTCTGTGTGGCGAGGGGTAGGGTGGAGCAGCACTCACCGGGCCAGGTTCACCATGGGCTCCAAGATGTTGTGACCCAAGGCGGCACTGCACTCCCCAAAGGAGACCCCCAGCTCCTGCAGGCCAGACAGGGAAGGGCATGCGTGCCTGTGGGAGACCACCGAGAGGCCAGGTGCAGTCCCAGCCACCAAAGTCCCGCCCCCTGCTCCCCCAAGCCCGCCTCCACGGGCGGCGCAGCCCCGGCTCAGTGTGGCCCGTGGCCCCCAGCTGGGTCCCTCCACCCTGGCTGGCCAGGGTGTCAAGGACACAACCCGGAGACATACACTGCCTTCAGAGTGACCTGGAAAGCCTGCATCCCAACTTGGAGAAATGCTCTGGGAACGTTTTATAAATGTGACTTACGTTTCTGGATTTCAAAAATATTTCACTGGGGGAAATAATGGAAGATACCGCATAAAAAGTATAAGTACAGATACAACCCACTGATGTCAGCGTTCGGGTATCTATTCCCATTCTGTTTCATGTACCCCTGTTATGGAGCGGGGGGGGAGGGGGTGCTAATCGTCCCTGTACTGTTAGATCAAACCCTACGGAATCGCTGTTTTGGTGGCCCCGGCCTGCACCTACCCACCTACACCTAGATTCGTAGCTGCTTTTCCGATTCCACATCATATCATAAGCGTTTCCCCCACACCCTTAAATATCTTTCCAGAACAGGGTTCTTCACAGCAAATACTGGCCTCTCAAATGGACCTCCACAATTTAACCACCAACGGCTGCCAAATGTTTGTTCTAGTAAATAATACTGTAAAAACACCCTCATATAAACATGTCTGATCATACACGATACATGGGTATCCACTACGTATTCCTTTAGGGACTACATTTCCGGTTGTTCCCCTAGGAAGAATTGCGGGAGGACGACTACATCAAAGGGATGAGCTACTGCTTTTAAGAAAAAAAAAATTCTCGCGGACCAGGAGTGGCGACAATGACCTCATGGTTATGAGAACCGAGAGGGGAGACGGGAAGGAAACACAGCGTGGAAATGCCCGGAGGGCCCGTGTGAGGGAGTGAAGAGTGATTTCCCCCTTCTTTATCACTGCCCGGGTTTTCCAGAATGTGGCTAAGCACCATTCATAAATAAATGGTCCCCACTGTCTGGCAGTGGCGCTTTCGATGTCATCTTCCCAAGGAAAAGTTTGAGTCTTAAGACAGAATACATTAGAAGGGAACATGTTAATTAGAGACCGGAGATAAAATTAAGATTTGATTGGGAATTTTAAGTGAAGCTATTTAAAACCCTTTTCCAGCCTGCAGATATTTTTCTGTAGGCTGGGACACCGTGTGGGAGCTTGCTGATGCGACAGTGAGGTTCAGCTCGCCCGCGTTGCGGCCGCGCGTCTGCGCGCCACTGAGCCGGCGGCGGCAGAGGCGGCCGGGCTGCCTTTGGCCAGGGCAGGGGCAGGAACGGGCAATCCCGGTGGCCCACTCCAGGGAGACCCCTTCACTGTCTGCCAGGGAGGCGTCTGCCCGGGCCAGGCGGGGGGGGGGGGCCGTGCCCGGCACTTACCTGGGCCAGCTGCTGCCCAGCCTCGGTGGGCACTTGCCGCTCCTCCTCGCAGTCCGTCTTGTTCCCCAGGAGAAGGATGACCACCCCGTCCGAACCTGCGTCCTGCACACAGAACGTGTTCTCTCAGCCACAGCCCCTGCGTGCCGGGCCCGGGGGATTCGGCCTCCTCTCCTACAAGATGACAGCGTGCCCTGCACGGGTGCCCTCCCAGGTCACACCCACTCCACATACTTCTCACCCGGACGCTTCCCCCATCTGCCTACAAACATCTCACCTACTATTCAAGGCTAGCCTCAACGGCCCTTCCCCTAGGAAGCCTCCCTGGATTGCTCCTGCCCATGCCCCTCTTTTCCTGCGTGTGTGACCAGTCCAGTGTTTGACATACAGGCTGCCTTGGCACGTTTCCTAAGTGTTCCGTGAACAATAACAACAGCTTCTGATTACCGTTTGCTATACACCAGGTGCTGTGCTGAAAGCAATTGTGTCAGTTAGCCCTCACGACCCCCCTATGAGAGAAGTCAGGAAACTGAAGCTCAGAGAGGTTAAGTCACTTGTCCAAAGTCACACAGTTAGGGTGGGACAGTGGGATAGTGGGATTCAAACCCAGGTCCTGTCAGACCCCAGAGCCCAGCTCTCCTCCTCACACATTATCTTACCTTGCTTCTTTTGCATCTCTTCAACTAGACTAGAAACTTCTGGAAAGAAGACAACATGACTAACTTCATACCCCTCTGCTGTGCTAGCGCACACTGCAGAATTCCAGTAGCTATGCACTGAGTGTGTATGTGGGGAAAAACAGAGGAATTATCACTTGCAGTGGCACTAGACCTGCGTCATCCTCAGGTGTAAGAAGGCATCACAAACAGAGCTGCTGTATGTAGGAAAGAAATGTTCACAGGATAAAGGAAGTAGTTTGGTTTGAAGGCTGTACCATGTGGTCGTGGTTTCTTTGTACTACTATGCTCCCAGCTCATCCAACCACATGACTTCAGTGGGTTGCGTCACCCATATGTGCTGTTGTGTCATTTGTAATCCTGGGAGAAAAGGGGGAGTGGGCAGGATACAAGCTCCCTCTTGACTCCAAAAACTTGTGCCCACCCCAGCGGCCATCTGCTCACCTGGAGACAGCTCAGCCAGTAGCGCACGTGGACAAAGCTCTCCTGGGAGGTGACGTCGTACATGAGCACCGCCCCATCAGCCTTGCGGAGCAGCTGCTGTGTCACGCTGTGGTATCTGCCAGAGAGTCTGCGTGAGGCCACGCCAGGCAGCGGCCCCAGGTCCCCGCCTCTCTCAGCCTCAGCCACTCTGTCTGCATCTCCCTCGGCTTCCCACAGAAGGCGTGCGCGTGCCTTCCTGCCCACGGCAGAGTCACCGTTGACGAGGCTCATGGCTCTCGTCAGCTCTCAGCTCTCCTGGCTCGAATCGCAAAGGACCAAAGGCTGCTCAGTGAAAATTCTCCCTCCCCGTTCCCCATCCTGCAACCACTCGGTGCCCCTCCCCAGAGGCAACCAAGGCTACCAGTTTCTTAAATATTATCCCAGAGATGTTTCCTGTATATACGCATACGCGAGGGCTGTCCGGAAACACCCAGCCGTGTAACCGTTCTCGTTCTATTTCACATATACACACATACGCGAACGCATCTTTCTCCCCTGCTTTATACAAATTCGGTGTAAAACATTCCTTGTGCTCAGCAATATTCAGTATTCTGCGCTTCGTTTTTCCAGTTAACGAGATATCTTGGAGACATTTCCCGATTAGTAAACAGAGACGGTCCTCAGCCTTTTTCGTGGCTTTATAGTGCTTTCAGAAGGACAGGTGGTTGGGTGGCCATCCCCGAGGGCCACGTCGGGGTGGCGCTGACATGCGCCCGAGGGGCCTCTGGGTCTGCGGCTCCGTCTGCCACAACTCGGGCCCGACCCGTCTCTCCTTGCCTGGCCTCCTGAACGCTTAGGGGAGGCCGGCCCAGCGGCGCCGGCGGCCTCTCGCCCTCCACCCCGCTACACACGGGCCAGCGACTGACACAGACGGCGCGTTACCTCTCCTGGCCCGCCGTGTCCCAGAGCTGCAGCGCAAAGCACTGGCTGTCCACCAGCAGGTTTTTGACCCGAAAATCCACTCCTAGGACACACAGAAGGGGTTAAGGCCTGCTTTCGAGTCCCCATCCAGGACTCTTAGCTAAGGCCTGCCCTGGTAAACACCTGTCCCCAACACCAGCCGCCGTGGGACAGAGCCTCAGGCTGCTGGGTGTCCCCTCAGCTCTCCAAACCCCACCCGTACTCAAGGGCCCGCTTCCTCCGAGAAGCCCTCGCAGACCCTAGTTCTTGCACGCATCCTCCCCCTCAGCGAGACAGGAGGGCAGACAGCAGCCCAGAGGGCGGGAGGAGCGCCAGCTTCAGGGATGGCCAGCCTCTACACAGCTGCCTGACCTTGGGCAAGCCGCCGCCCCTCTCTGAGCCTCCTGCCTCGCCAGCGAGGTGGAATTTAGGGAGACCCACGTTGCAGGGTGGGTGGGGGGATTAAATGCCTCTGTCTAAGGTTCGGCCTGGTTTCTGGAGGGTGCTGGAGAAGCGGTAATTTTCATTATCACGGTGATTTCTCCTGTCCCGGAACCCCAGCCCCTCACATTTCACAGACCCACCCTTCCCTGTGGTCATAGTTCCAGACCCTTCCTGTCCCTGGGAACACAGGGAAATGCCAGGGATGTTTGGAATCTTGGGCTGCACCTTCCTGCCAACCCCCACTTTCCAAGGAAAGCAGGTGGCATGGGGCGGGGCAGGATGGATGGGGAGGGCTGCTTTGTCCCCGTCCTCACCCTCTTTCCTAATGGAGTCCTGAGCTGCAGGGCCCACTGCAAGCCCCGGGCCAGCTCTCAAAAGAGGAATCTCCTCATATATATGAGCAATGCCGGGCTCAGGCCTGAGCCCGCAGAGACCCAGCTCAAGGCCTCTTATGGTGACCCCCATAAGCACCTGCTGCTGCCCCTTGGTGGTGGCTGAAACCACAGACTCCCTCCCTCCCCTCCCCCAAACTCTCCACAAGGAAGCTGGGAGAAGTGGCAGCCTCCGGAGGCCCGGCCCCAGCAAGACAGTGAAGCAGGATTTGTCGGTAGCATCCACTTGGCTTTACTGCCCTCTCTCCTGAGGGTCATGAGAAGCCCCAGGTCTGCAGGAACCTCTGAGGTCATCTGATCCAACCTCCGTGTGATAAATGTCCATCCTCTGCTTAAATGCCTACGTGTCGTCTCCTCAACGACGCCGACAGCTCTTCCTCGCATCTGATAACTCCCCAGCGCTGCCGCTTCTCACCCTGCCCACCCCTCGCTGATCCACCCACGAGTCCCCACACCTTCCCCAAATGTGTTGCAACTTAACTGCATAAACTGTC